TATTTAAATATTCATATCTAACTCTATCTTAGGGCCTCAGGCCATCTTATGAGAAAATCAGTTGAGACAAGTTTAAAATAATAATAGTAACCATTTTAAAAGCACATTAAACCATTTAATATTTAACACCATGCCATTTTAAATGCTATTCAAAATATTTAAAAATCATTACACATATGCAGGCTCTAGATCCCATCTGATCTTAAAAGCTAAGCAAGGAAAAAACTGCATACTATAATACTTGGATGGGAGACCACCAATGAATACCTGGTGCTGTAGGCTATATTTAAGAAGAAGTTATTAATATGGAATTCATTGGGTTGCCATAGGTCAGCAGGCAACTTGAAGGCATGTACAGACATACACACACCATACACACTTCAAAAGAAATTAGTTGTGTCATTCATGTGGAGGAAATTCCCACAAAAAGAATTTGGTATTCGGATTAGAATTTATTTTGAAAATAAATAAATACTTGTGTTCATCTTTACATTATTATATTACATAATTACATTTTCCATTTTTTTTAGTTTTTCTTTTTTTAAAATACAAGATTTTCATACCTAAGAAATATCCTTAAGTTTTTTTGTGGGGAAACTTATCGTCCCTCTAAAGCAGTGATTCTCAAACTTTTCTTCATGACAGACCTCCTTTTAAATACTTTTGTTGCCACAGACTCCCAAGACTTAACTCAAGATTTCAGGCTCATAAAATAATTATTTCAATTTTCTCATGAACATTCCTTCAAATTTAGAGAGAAGGGAATATGTTGATTATAATGATTCCATACGAATTCAAAATAAGAGTGTCAACACTAATGATAGTGTTGGGAAATTCTGCATCTTATATTAGTTCCTTTTTTATAACCCTTGACCTGATTCAATCTTTCGTGGAACCCCTGTGACAACATTGCGGACCCCAGCTTGGGAACCACTGCTCTAAAGCATTGGAGAACATACATCTGACCCAATTATTAAGGACAGAGAGAACAAGACAGCAGCCATGTTCCCAATGGTAATTTTTCATGAGCAGGACTTGGTTATGTCCTTATTCCAACACATTCACGATAACATATGTAATAGAATAGTGTCGATATTTGTTTTGAGAGCCTATGAATAATGGTTAAGCACCCACATCTACTACCCTACCCTCTCTTCCCTGTCCCCCAAGGATATTACATCATGATGGAATGGTGAGGTATTACTTCCAGTCAAGTTTGTGACTCCATCTATCAGGCCTATAATCTTTGACTGGGAAATTCTGCATCTTATATTAGTTCCCTTTTTATAACCCTTGGCCTGAACATGCAAGTCCCATCCCCTTTCAGAGCCTGCCTCTTGCAACCACTACCTGGCCTTGCAACATCCTAGAAAGTTGCTAAAGCCCTTTGGAGAAATTGGATAGGGGTAGAGGTGCCATCTGTAGAGTTGTGGTGCTCTTTTTGAGCCTTTGATTAAGGGAGTGTTACTTTGTGAGTTACCTCATAACTGCAACTAAAATCTTAGTCAAAAAAATCAACCCAAAAACCTGAGTTGTCTTATCCACAATCAATGTGAGCATTGTAGCTTAACTCTTATAAAAAAAGGAACCATCCCCTACTCTGAACAAGGTGGCAAAAGAGCTCGGTCCACCACAGGAGAAAAAACCCCTTTTATTCTCTCCACTATGGCACCACTTCTAGCCTTTTTGAATGCCTAGGTGAGAAAATCACAATGGGAAATGGCCAGGGATGGGCTGTCCTCTGAGGAAGCATTGATGTCTTCCCCTTTTTGCAGAATGAACCTCGACTTATCCATGGGTCCATAATTTTGACCCTAAAACCTGCCATGAGATCAACTTATACATGCGTACATATGATACAGTCCTCTGCATGAAAGCTCATGACATCTTAATGGTGAAGCCCAGCAAACTTTCAGAATAATAATTATTATTTGTTTAATGTATTGTCGAAGGCTTTCATGGCTGGAATCACTAGGTTCTTGTGGGTTTTTTCAGGCTATAGGGCCGTGTTCTAGAGGCATTTCTCCTGACTCTCAAACAAAATTATTTGTTTGTTCGTTTGTTTACTATACTTATAACCTGCCCTTCTCACCCCCGAAGGGGCACCCAGGGCGGCTTAGAAACTATGGCAGTAATTCAATGCCAGATTCAGACAATAACAATATCAGTAAAACACAAAATTACAAAACTGTAAAAAAATACATATAAATTAAAATAGTCTTTTCCATAGTTATCCATAAAAGTGCTCTGATCAGTGAAGTCTGTATTCATGCTAACTTAAAACACATAATGATATCTCCTGTGATAAATTCCTCATTAAAATCTTACCAGTGGCCTTGAATGACATATTCCCCTTTGGGAATTTTGAACAGTGAGAATTTTGAACAGTTTCCTCCAGCCATCTTACCTTCTTCAAGAAGTCTTCAGAGAAAAACATGGATTTTTGTGCAACAAGCCCCCTTGTCTTCGATGCGAAAAACAGCTTTCCTGCATGGTTTTGCTCAAGTTTTTCAACATGAGAAAATTGGTGTTTTTCTCCACATAATAATTCCTACACATCGGTTTAGGATCTTCATATACAATGGCAATATTAAAGAAGAATATTCTTTATAGCATTGCAGGGAGAAAACGAATTCTTTTTGCTCTCATCTGAGGATGAAGTACTTGGGGATTCAAATCCCTAGTCTAATGCATCCATTCGTTTTTTGCATTGCATACTTGATTATCAGTTACACTAAAAAAAATTGGTCAGTTTCTCCTTCCTTTTTAGTGGAATAAATCTACAGGTCTACACTCTTGTACATCATACTATACTTTATAAAATAACCCCCTATTTTTAATAATCGTCAGTTTTAAATGCCTTACATTTATCATTTATAATCAAGTAATGCTGTTTTCTTAAGAGTTAATAGTGAGCTCATGGGTTGTTCCCATAAAAAAAGAATAAAAGATGCTTGCTGTCACAGGATTTTACTATCGCTACAAAAGATCTAATCAAGAAAAGAATTGAGCCACAAAATTCCTGTGCAGTTGCTGGTATGTGTTTTACTTTCAGCCACACAATCCAATATAATTGCTGTACAGTCAACCTTCTGGTTATTTGGATGACAAAGAGGCCTTTCATTTACGTGTGAATAACTAAATCCAGTCCATCCGGATTTGTTTGACTTAAGGAGCGTTGGAATACTGTAGCAAGCTTCTGTGTGGGTTTTTTTTTTAAAATGGGTATTTGCCCTGTGAAAAGTGTTGGTTGATTATGGACTGTTGTACAGGCTAAGTAGAATGTAGGGCAAAAAGGAGAAAATCCACAGAGAATAATAAATGCCTCCATTAACTGTACAGGCCGTCCCCAAATTGCAAACAAGATAGGTTCTGTAGATTTGTTCTTCAGTTGCATTCATATGTAAGCCAGAACAGGGACATTTTGAAGTGTATCTCCAGTGATTGATAGATAGATAGATAGATAGATAGATAGATGCAGCGGGTTAAACTGCTAAGCTGCAGAACTTGCTAACCAGAAGGTCAGCAGTTCAAATCCATAGGATGGGGTGAGCTCCTATTGTTAGCTCCAGCTTCTGCTAACCTAGCAGTTCGAAAACATGCAAATGTGAGTAGATCAATAGGTACCACTTCAGCAGGAAGGTAACGGTACTCCATGCAATCATGTCAGCCACATGACCTAGGAGGCGTCAAGGGACAACACAGCTCTTCAGTTTAGAAATGGAGATGAGCACCGCCACCCCAGAGTCAGACTTAACTATATCTTTGGATGGGATAGGGAAGAGTTAACACTCCTGTGTTGTTTGTTTTGCTTTTTCTGCCCCTGTGATAATTGGATTTTGAAAAATTTGGCTTGTTGTGGAAACAAGGATTGGTGAGAAAGCTTCAGTGGAGACACCTTTCCTCCCATGATAACTCTTTTAGGAATGAATTTCCCTTCTGAGGGGTAGATTAATTTCTCTCACTTCCTGTTGTCTCACCCCCATTTGTAACTACGAGTCATTTGTAAGTCCGATGTTTGTAACTCGGAGACTGCTTCTATATTTCCAGATGAATCATCACCTGATTGCATATACTTCTTCAGTTGCTTAAGCAACACTTTTAAATAAGTACTACTGTCTAATGATATAACAATGGTGTTTTAATCTTTTACAACAAAGAAAAATGACAGAAGTTGAATACATTTGAATTGGATCTATGACGAATGACACTAACTTTGCATTAAACTTTTGGCCTCTGGAATTTAATGAGGTGCATTTTCACATATTATCCTATGTTTGGCCCAAGTATAATAGATGCATCAACGTATTTACTTGACATAGAAAGTGGCAATGTGCTTTTTGTCTTCAGACATTCACAGCATCACTATACTTTGCTGTTCTCTCCCTTCATGTTCCCTGGAATGAAAGGGGATACTTATGCATTTTCATCACAGAAAAAAATATTTCTGTGCAGAAATTATTTTCTTGACAAAAATACCATTTGCCAATTTCATACAGAAGTTCTGAACTGTCAATAGTGTTTGAAAACTGCACAATTTTAAAAGGCTGTCTTATAGCAGTTGGCATTGCTAAAATTACTCTTCCTCAATTACTCCGGCCCCTAGAAGCTCCTTCCGTATGATATAATAGTGTTTGAACTGGTTTTAACGTATATGTTTTCTCTGTTAATAACCTTGTGTCTATGTTTTGAATACTCTGTACATTCTTTTCTGTGTTACTGCACGTATGGAAATGGCCCTGCGTCCCTTAGGGGAGATAGAGCAGTATATAAATAAAGTATTATTATTATTATTATTATTATTCCCAAATAAGTGAAGCCCTACAGAATATTACACATGAAGATCTCCACCAGTTAAGGTCCCTAAGTCAAACACACCTCATTCTCATGGGAATAAACCAACCACAAAGATTTGCATTATTCCATTCCATTGTATAGCCTACTTTACTTTTGTACCCATTTTTGCCCCTTCTAATTGTTTATAATTTTATTATTTTTAGACAGTTGACAGACCGAAGGATTGGTATAAGACGATGTTCAAGCAAATTCACATGGTTCACAAGCCTGGTACGTCTGACTTCATCTTCTTGCTACAGTTTTGTTGCTTTGTAGCTTGCTGTCAGATTATTACTATATATAAGTGGCCATTCAGTAATAAAATGCTGTGAACCAGTAGGCATTTCTTCAACCCATGTAAGTATATTAGTGTACAGTTGATGTATTGTTCTTTAGGGAAAATCGGTGAACATGCTTAACAGGATTTTCAAGATGTAAAGAAAACTAAAAAGGATTACAGTGAGTGCATTAAAGGAACTATGTAGCACAGGATTTCATATGCCCTTTTTGGGAATTAGGATGGAATTATTTTCATTGCTTCTCTCTACCAGGGCAACTAATCTATTTGAGAATCCCAACTATAGAATAAAAGCAACGACCTTGACTTATATATGAGGCCTTTAGATGTTCTGCATATAAACAACAGCTCATATGTGTATTCTTATTGAACAAAGGATCCACTGTGTATGCTAACTAATAAGAGTGAATCTTTCATTCAATAAAATAAAGGAGAGAGAACATGACTGGTCCAGGATCATGCAATAAGCTTCATAACGGAGTAGGAATATGAACTAAGTCTAACTTGAATAAGTCTTGGGCAATTAATTTTTTCATTACCTGTAAAGTTTTCATTTGCATAAAATATTATTCTGATTTTAACATTTAAAGAGTCCTTGTTTTCCTACCACCACATTACAGAGCACATCAGAACACAATACAGACACACAACCACCAAAGAATTTGCTGATACATATCTTAAGATGGTGTCTGCTAGCTGTTATTACTTTTATTAAACTTAGTGGGGGAGTTTCATTTTCAAAAAGATGCCGTCTTATAAATCAGCAACGTTTTTCATTTCATTAAAGGGGTTTTGTTTACCCATCGACTTAAACACAGCATGACTAACTAGTGAGGCTAAAACTTAGTAGACCGGCATATCTTTTCCATTCAGACCATCAACAGATTAACTCTTGGTCTCTCCAGATAGAGTGGGAAAGACCCTGGAAAAACCAGTGCAGGTTAGCATAGGGCAGATGATTTGATGCAGTCTAAACTACTGTGATCTTCTAGGTCCATGGCCAACTCACTAGCATCTTAAACTGATACATACAGCAGTGGAACCCGCTGCCCTGGAGTGTGGTGGAGGCTCCTTCTTTGAAGGCTTTTACATAGAGGCTGGACGACCATCTATCAATGGGGGGTGTGGCTTTGAAGGCGATTTTCCTGCTTCTTGGCAGAGGGTTGGACTGGATGGCCCAAGAGGTCTCTTACAACTCTATGATTCTATTATTATTTGAGCTGACTGACACATTTTCATTTATCTTATTTCCCATATGAAAATTATGCTTAGGACCTGCAGTCTCAGAGAAATTCTGGCTGGTCCGTGTGTATTGAGATATGGCCACATATTCCTCTGAAATTGTTTCACATTTCTGTAGTTTAGTCAGCTGATTCCAAATAGTGATTTATCTCTGGATCTAGGCTCACTTTTTCCAGCAAGGTGGGGAAATATATACAGGTTCACTGCAAGAATGGGAAATCTGTGTGCCTCCATATGGAACTACATTACATGTGTTCACAATTGACCATTCATATTGTGACTGATTAATTTCAACATTCTTAGCGAGACCACAGGCTCCCCTCTCCCTCTATATGAGTTTATTCACCCTTCATACTTAGTCTATTGTAAGCATAAAGCATTTCTAAAACACAGGATACATATCAGTGGTCCTGATACGTGTCCTGTATTCACAAATTCATTTTTAATCCATGGCAAATGATGGGAGGAGACCTTCTTGATGCTGGCCTCCCAGCTGTGGAATAGTCTCCATTAAGAGGCTCAACAGTCATATAGTTGTCTTCATAATACCCACATGATCCGTAATCCTGGTAATTTGAAAAGACACTTTTCACTAATATTGGACATCCAGGCATTAGATATAGGTACAGCTAGTAATAACGTTGCTCCTCCCATGTTTGCCATGGGAGAACATTCATATACCCCTGGCTATGTTCCTATGGTATGGTAGTAATAGTAGTAAGGAGCATGAGATATTTATCTTTGGCTTATTTTCTTTAATCCTGATATAAGGAAATAATAATATTATTATTAATAATAATAATACTTTATTTATACCCCGCCACCATCTCCCCAAGGGGACTTGGGGCAGCTTACATGAGGCCAAGCCCAACAACACATCAATAAAACAACAAGCAGTAAACAAATAAAATAAAACATATAACTCACATATAGGCAATAACACACAAAAATTTAAAACCTATGGCTGGGCCAGATGTAATAGATTAAAATTTTAAAATAAACACTGGGCGTGAACAGAGGTAGGATGTATCTAAGCAGGAGGATTTTAAAGGATAGTGTAGGGAGAGCAGCCCATCAGGTAGTTAAAGTGCTTCTGAGGACATTTTACAGGGAATTGGTCAGAGCAGGGCATTGTTTCCTTTATTCAGGGAAGGCACACTGGAACAGCCACGTTTTCTGGCTCCTCCTAAAGACTGCCAATATGGGGGCTTGACTGATATCCTTGGGGAGTGAGTTCCAGAGTCGGGGGGCCACCATAGAGAGGGCCCTCTCCCTTGTCCCCACCAATCGTGCCTGCGAAGGAGGTGGGAGCGAGAGCAGGGCCTCTCCAGATGATCGAAGAGATCGCGTGGGTTCGTAAACAGAAAAGCAGTCATGCAGGTAGGCGGGTCCCAAACCGTTCAGGGCTTTGTAGGTCAGAACCTGCACCTTGAATTGGTACTGGAAAATGAATGGTAGCCAACAGAGCTCCTTAAACAGGGGCATAGACCGCTCCCTGTAAGTCGAAACTATTTATAGTTCCCTGGAAACGCAACTTTTTATATATGCATAATTAGGGACAATCTGAGCTAAGACGGGAGGGTTATTGCTCAACAGGAGAATGTGTGCCTTGCATTTATGAAGGCCTAGTTTAGTTTTAGTTATAAAGTTTTGAGGAACAGAGCTATTAAAACTCCTTCAAAATGGGTTGCTGTCTATTAAGAGCCATTGTGTAGAGTGTTAGTATGGCTTAGAAGTGGATTGGCTGAGGAATTAGTTAATTGGTCAGACTGCAGCCAGCCAGGATAAAATTCTATTAAACACTGTTGATTTCCATGGATAAAGAGTAGATCCTGTACCAACATCTCCCTTATTTAAAAAATGCAGACCTTAAAATATGCTTAACTTTGGCTGGCTCATGTCAGGGTAGCACGTTTGCTTTTTCAAATCCTGTGACTGGTTCACATTGACCTGCAGGATGGTGTTTGTATCAGAAAAAAAGCCATATCATTTTCCCCCTTCAATTGCTTTGTGTGTGTGTAGCAGTATAGCAGCATGAGGGAAAATCACAGAGAAGTGACTCCCACACCACTGGTGAATAAGTGTGAATTGGCCACTTGTGGAAACTGCCAAAATGAAAGAAAATAACTCACAGCGTTTATATCCCCAGTGATACAACAAGCATATGTTCTCCAGGTCTGAGATGATTAAAAATGGATAGCAGTATATGAGACAGAGTCCAGAAGTAAGATGCTTACCTCCAGGCTGACTGTTTTCTTTGTATTCCCAAAGATAAACCTGGCTTATTGTAATAAAGCGACAGATATTCCACTACTGTAACATTTATTTTTCTTTTTGTAGATGATGACACAGACATGTATAATACTGCATATGCATATAATACTGGTAGGAATGATTCCTTCCCTTCACATGAGTCTTTTTCTTGTGTCTGCAATCATGTTAGCTAACCCTTCTGGTCCAGTCTTCGTGTGCTTCTGTAACTACTATTATTGCTGATTGATCTCTAGCTGTGCTTTGGTATCGTGGTTTATCTGATGTCAAATGATTTGGTTTGGAATGATTTTTAATCCACCCAAAATGTATTGGTAATATTTACCTTACTCTGGTTTTATAATAATAATAAACTTTATTTGTACCCCGTCCCATTTCTCCTAGGGACTTGGGGCAGCTCACAACATAATAAATACAGTGACACACATAAAATAAAATAGAGAAATAATAATACATCAAAGTAATATAACAACAAACAAGATAAGCTAAAACACATTAGCTATTTTGTAAGCTATTTGGACAGATTCTGGCTTATGGCAAACTTGGGAAAAAGTAACTTGTAAACTAGATCTCCCAGAATGTTCCAGCTTTCATTTCTGAATGGAAGCCTTCTGGCTTTTTTTAGTCTAAACATCTGGCAGATCCTACTTTGATATAATGTTAAATGTAGGACCACTATTTGTAGCAGAGAATACAAGTCCAAATTTCTAACAATAATATGTTTTGTCAGTAATGTAGATAGCTGCTTAGAATAGTTCCATATGCCGTGCATAAAAGTTTTTAAACATGATCACAATTCAGATAAAGCTGTGTTTTAATAAACTTCTCATTTTGATGGCCAAGAGTTAACACTGAGATCTAAATGACTCAAATGTGTTTAATTTTCACTGAATGATGCTGTTTAAAATTCAATTCAAAATGTAAAATTATATATCTAAACTGTAACATAGATTTCCATTTAATCTGTAATTACATCACGTTTGCAATTGAAGCAAATCGAACTTAATGGATATTGACAAAATAGCAGTAGAAGACTGGAAATCCCTGCAAAAATGTACATTCGACGAGAACATATTGACTCTCAAATTACTCGTCAATAATAACATGAGATATATAGATATGTATTTATAAGCAAATCTGTGTTGCACCATAGTGCCAAAAGTACTATTAGTGTTAAGTTCATATCACACAATTGAATTTTTGTTTGTATACAAAATGATAAAAGTATTACTAATATGAAGTGTATGGATCACTGTCCAGTGCTAATTCTGAGCAAAACATCACCTATTAACATTATTAACAAAAGCATGCCTAAATATGCAAATATATACTGATTGTCTGTATGTGTATGTCTGTTTCAACTTTCTGTAACAATAAAAAGGTTAAGATCTCATCAGGAAGGTTTTCATTGTCTTTATATATGGCCACATTTGACTAAACATGCAATGAAGTCCCCTACCTGCTTTGGACTGTTAAAGCTGGTATATTATCAAGTCATTGGTTTATGTAAAACCTGGAAAAGTTACCTTTTTCAGACTACAACTCCTGGGATTTTTCTTGGCCAAATGCAATAATCAGTTCTCCTTACAACTTTGCTCAATATCTTGGGCAGTCAGCCTCATTCAGTGGGGCAATTTGGAAGTCCCTGAACAGACTCAGAAGTGGAGTGGGCAGAACAAAAGACTACCTGGCAAAATGGCACTACCTAAAAGAATCCCACACCTTATGTGACTGTGGAGCAGAACAGACAACTCCGCATCTGTATGCTTGTCCACTATGCCGTGCCTCATGCACAGAGGAAGATTGTTGGAGGCTACAAACAATGCCATTGCTGTTGCCCGTTTTTGGTCAAAAGATATTTAGCCACCTACACCCTTCTATTTTTATCAGTTTTATACTAACTTATGCAATGCTTTTGATACAGAATAAATAAATAAGCCTCATTCTATTTCAGTTTGTATGGATATCTGTATTTTAGATTCTTCTCTGTGTGTGTGTGTTTGTCTTTTGATAGGTAACTTCAGTCCATCCTATTCGGCCCAAGCACATCCTGCTGCAAAGACTCACACATACAGACCACTGACGAAAAGTACTTCTGACAATGGCAGTGATGCCTTCAAGGTCTCATCCCCTGTACCTCCACCACCTCCAGCACCACCAATTCGACCACGGCAAAGATCTGCACCAGAAAAGTGAGTCTTTCTGTCATTTTGTAATACTGAGTTTAGAACCAGCTGGTTCAGAGTCACTATGAAAATTCATCACTATGGGTTAAAACATAAAGTTAGGTTTCTTCCGTTATACAGTGATTACTTTGCTATTCCAGAAATAATCCATAAATAAAAAAGCAATTGTTTTCAACCTATGGGTTGCGACTCCTTTGGGGGTGAAACAGCTGTTTTACAGAGGTTGCCTAAGACCATTGGAAAACACACATTTCTGATGGCCTTAGGAATCGAGACACCACTAACTTTTCCCTGTGCCCTTTGCTTCTCGGAATGCTTTTCTTCTCCAGAAGGAGGTGAAGCTGTCACTTATTCCCACCCTGCCACCATTTTAGGAGAAAGAGATGGGATTGTGAGATTTGCTTTGGAACCAAAAGGGAAGAGGGGGGAGGAGGGGGGAGGGGGGAAAGGAGAAGGTAAGGGAGGGGGCCTAGGGAGGGGGGCCTGGGTGGAGGGCAGGGCTTAGAGAGGCCTTCCATGGCCGGATACCAGGGAGAAAGAGAAATAATAATGAAAATACACCTTGCATATCAAATATATGTTTTTAATATGTATTTAACTTTAATTTTTAATCTTTAACTTAACGTATTACAATTGTTTGTTGTTCGAAGGCATTGAATAGTTGCCATATGTAAAGCTGCGTTGTGTCCCCTTCAGGGTAAAGAAAGACAGGATACAAATAGAATAAATAAATAAATAAATATTTACATTACAGTTCATAACAGTAGCAAAATTACAGTTATGAAGTTGCAACAAAAATAATTTTATGGTTGGGGGTCACCATAACATGAGGAACTGTATTAAAGGGTCACAGCATTAGGAAGGTTGAGAACCACTTAGTTAAATAGCCTTCTTGGGGCCTGTTCAGACAGGACCTTTATTGTGAGCCGGGAGAGCCTGCCAAGGCTTCTAATGGAGGGCATGTAGGTTTTTATTAGTTTTCTAAGGGGTCTGGGGGCTTGGGGGGAGGGGGTAGGGCCTCCACACATTCGCTCAGGCTAGTCCCAAGAGAACGTGTGGACACTCACCCCAGAAAGTGCACACTTTCTGAGGTGGGTTTGGACAGGTGTTATTTTAACACGGATGCTTCTGGGATAAAAGCCTGTCTGTATCTGGCCTTGGTGATGCTCTAGCCCTCTTCCATTTGTCATCTCATCATTTCTATCAATATAGAACCCTCATGTGGTTGCATCTATGTCCTGCAGGGTGCGGCTCATGGGTCATTAATGTATGGCATTTTTTTAAAAAAAGCCCTGCCAGTATTTTAATGTGGGTAACAAAAAGTAAGTGTGCCAAGTTTGGTCCAGATCTGTCAAGCATGTAGGAACTTTTGAAGTACAAACTTACAACCATACATACATATTTTCACCTTTATTTATATAGATAGATGATATCATTGATTATGTTGTGAAACATGGCTTCCCCCCCCCCCCCACAAATTCACACTTGACATTCATGTGTAAATATACAAATTTTCAGTAGAATTTTAAATAAAATACTTTTTAAATAGCAATTTATTTTTAGGCTTTAACAAAAAAGCAAGTTTGATGTTTCACTTTTCTTCTAAATGACAAGAGTGCAACAGGAAAGACAGTTTAATACAATTGTTGATTTTTTATTTTATTTTTTTAGAAATGAGTGGGAGCCACCTGATAGAAAAGTAGACACACGCAAATTCCGTTCAGAACCAAGGAGTATTTTTGAATATGAGCCTGGGAAGTCCTCCATCCTTGAACATGAAAGACCAGTAAGTGAAGTTGGTTAAGCGTACTATCTTGATGAGATATTTTCTACTATTGAAATCAAATTTTTATTTTGTTGAATATAAGGAGGTGCTTTGAAATGGAGTTTCTTTTTTCCTGAAGCTGGCCGGGTCATTTAATCCACTGTTGATTAACGGTTATGAACAAGATACCTATGAAAAGATTTTTAGTGAAGTTAGTATTGTATGATAGTTAACACTGCTGTCATTTGTGTAACTGAGAAATTTTCGAGATGATTGTGTCACTTTAAAACACACTCACATTTTTACTTCTTAAAGAGTGAAGCAAATATTTACAAGTCTCTAATGACAATGTGTGAATGTGGACAGATTACCACTTCTCTGTAACTTTGAAAGTGAACCAATCCACAACATGAGAGTTGTTACATATGTGTAAAACCTTTGTTCTGAGACCTTGCACATCTTATGCTTGTTTGTGTGTTCAAAAATTATTGTTCTATACATGTTAACTCATGGCTAAAGTTTTTCAATTTTTTTAAAAAAAACTAGATGTAGAATTATTTAATAGCATGCTTGATAAGATTGCAGGCAGTTGCATGGATAGAATAGACATCATGAACTAATTTCTTGTAAATCCTAATGCATCTTCTACTATCTTTGCTCATGGAGATTTACTTTGTATAGCTAGTCTTGGAGGAATTGTGTTACTCAAACAGACTATACAAAACTCTGGCATTGTTAAATTTCCATTATTCCAAATTGCAGTTATAGAATGAATGATCTGTTGAGTAATGTGCTTAATACTAAGGTTTTTTTACCTTATGCTGCTGCAGTGGCATTGCTTTTAAAACTCTTTTTAACCATATTAGAAATAAGATTACGGTAAACGTATCATATAATGTGTGTTCATGCATCTCTGTTACTTCCAGTCAGTTATGGCAGACTTTCCAGTATATTACCTTTCAAGATTACACTAAGGGCCCTTCCACACAGCCTTATAATCCAGAATATCAAGGCAGATCATCCACAATATACAGTAGAGTCTCGCTTATCCAACATAAACGGTCCGGCAGAACATTGGATAAGCAAAAATGTTGGATAATAAGGAGGAATTAAGGAAAAGCCTATTATACGTCAAATTACATTATGATTTTACAAATTAAGCACTAAAACATCATGTTTTACAATAAATCGACAGAAAAAACAGTTCAGTACATGGTAACGTTGTGTAGTAATTACAGTATTTATGAATTCAGCACCAAAACATCTAAATCCATGCTGCCATACAATCAAGTTCAATGTGGATTTTATTCAGCGGTGTGGAAGGGACCAAATTCTACTAGTGAAAGAATGGGTGGTTGGGGTTTAGAAGTAGAGTAGGTTTGAAACCACAGAAAGCTCCACTGACTATTTAATTAGGGAGGGAGTTTCAGAGGAGGGGTGCGATCACAGAGAAGACCCTCTTTTTTGTTCCCACCAGTCATATTTGAGATGGGGGTGGGACTGAGAGCAGGGCCTCCTCCACTGACCACACTGCTCAAGCTGCTTTGTAGGAGCAGAAGCGATGTGATTCATAGAGAGAACATTTTCATCAAATCTGTGAATAATCAAAACCCCAAAAAATCAAAACGGAAAATATGGAAGGACCATTGTACAAATAGGAATTTTCCATATCATTAGCACAATATAAAAATATGAGCCTTTAATTATATTACATTAAACTACATTTCTTTTGTTTGACAAATAGGCATTTCTGCAAAACAGAAAAAATCCACATGTATTATTTTATACAAATTAATTGTTTTACAATTAACATTAATTGTACAGTTGAGATCCCTGAACAAATACTACATTAACAGCTTAGTTTGGTGTTAATTGATTTAGACGCTGTTCAAAAGATGTGATTCATAGAACAGCAGAAACATTGGATGAGATTATTTAAAAAAAAACATCTAGCATTCTGAGGTTCTCTTTGGACATTTACCCATAAAGGATTTTACTTCCATTACAAGCTCAAGAATGGTTGGAGAACTCAGCAACAATTAATGACTCTCTGATTGTGGGAGGATTACTTGGCTTGGAAAGGCTATCAGAAAGGGTTAAGAGGCTGTTTCCTTATGATTACCAAATTCACAGCCTCCTGTGGCTGTTTTTCATTTAAAAGAAACAACACGAGAAACTGTGTAATTGCGTGTGTTGTATCTAATTGAGCTGTTCCTACTGATACTTGCACAGATTAGAACAGAGGGAGGATGCAATTTGTAACAAATAAGACACAAGTTTTATTTCCATTTTCCTTGTAGAAAGCCATATTTACTAACTCTGGAAACTTCTACAACATCAGTGAAAAAATGCATTAAAAACTTGTTTGTATTTTTTTCTGTATTTGCTGCTTGAGAACTGATTACAATTAGAATAATAGAATCATAGAGTTGGAAGAGACCTCGTGGGCCATCCAGTCCAACCCCCTGCCAAGAAGCAGGAAAATTGCATTCAATGTTTAATTAAATGTTTTTGAATATCTAACCCTTTTTGTTATGCAACAACTGAAACAATAATATCATCCTGCACAAAAAGTCCTCAAAAACTAACAACTAGTTATCAGTTTTTTTTAACTTCCAAAAAGCATGTATATCATTACAAAAGTTAATAAGTTACCTTCCTTTGAGATACCACATATTCCCCAGAAGACTTTATTTACATGGATATATGTGAACAGTAGGCATTTTGCATGCGGTGGAGGGCAATTTCCAGTCCCACAACGCTTCAGAGTCTGCAATGGTACATCTGGGCATGTTGGAAATAATGTTGCAATGCTTCCAATCAACCTATATAACTTTGTGAACTTTAGTTGGTTCCTGTAAATCAATGTGGATGTCTTATGTTTAGGTTTTATGACACTATATAATTTTGGTTGATTATGTTTTAATTAATTTATAGATGTTAGGCTCTAAGTTTGTTTCATATGTAGGGTTATTCCAGATTATTGTGTTGATATTTGTTGTTTTACTGAGGAATTGAATGTTTGCTGATTCCAACTTATTGTATGTTGGAATCCACCCTGAGTCCTGCTGGGGACTGGTGATTTTCCAGTAAAAAATAGCAATTTCTTTATTCGTGTTTTGACATCCATGGAAGTCTTGTGCCTCTAGACTAGTGGTTCTCAACCTGTGAGTACCCAAGTGTTTTGGCCTACAACTCCCAGAAATCCCAGCCATTTTGCCAGATGTTAGGATTTCTGGAAGTTGAAGGCCAATACATCTGAGGACCCACAGGTTGAGAACCACTGCTCTAAACCCCAGTGAATATGGAGAGCTGACAATAATGCAGATTGAAATCTGACAATGCAATAGTCATGAAATGATATATGGTGGTATGGGGAGAGAAAAGATGGGTTGCGTAAACATGTGTTAGATTGGCACCTTATTCTCATTTCAGTTTGCATGGTCTACATAAAAGTAAATGCAAGAATTTTACACTGTAGGTTCAAAGCTGCATTATGGATCCACCTGATGTACCTTTCACATGTTTATGTGGAATCCATCTGCATCTCTCCTTTCACAGAATTCAGTTAAGATTTTATTTTCAAGCAGGGCTGCTTATAGAATGATAAGAAAAACTTCACAAAAGATAAATGCAAAGGCTTTGCTGGTCAAATGAGTATGACAAATGAAGAAGCCATTCCAGAAGAAAAGGCTCATCTCCCTTTCTTCATGTGGTAGCAGTACTGGAGGCTGGTTATTCTGATGTTAGTGAGGCAGTGATGATGCCCTGGGCTTTGGTCCAAAATTTGAACAAGCTTCCCAAAGTATTGGATGGAACTCAGTCTCAGTATATGAGCCAGTCCTCAGATTTATTTTTCACACTTCTACCACAGGGAAGTGGCCCCGTGTTATATAAGTGACCCATCCTTTCACTTGACTTGACATTTTGCCATCAAATCCACCCACCTTCCATGAGTCAGGGCTGTTTTTGGCAGAGTTCATATGGAAGGGGAAAGTAATGTGCATATTATATGTTCTTAAACTCCACAGAGAGACTGAGAGATGCTCCCTTTCCCACTGAAGCTGTCCACTGCTATAAAGTGTAGAATGCTAAAGTGAAGAATCAAGTTCCCCAACTTCCACAGTACCCTTAATGGCACTGTTAAAGCAAAGGAAATGAACAGCAGATTAAATGACCCAGTGCTATAAACATCTTTTGGGGGGTTCTCATTCATAAAGTGCACTCAGAGGAATGAAGACTGCAGAAGATAAAGTAGCTGGGATACAGAGAAGAAAATGTTTCATAAACTCTGAAATCATATAAAAAGAAGTAATCTGTCTTGTCATTCACCAAGGAGAGATTCCTTACACATGGGATAAGGTTCATGTTCATCACACATTTTAACCCTTCACAAAAATATTTTTAGAAAAATATCATCAGATTGGTGTCGCCTTCAAACTGCCACTTCAAGAAATGGGGTCGCTGTCTGTTGGCATAGAGGGGTGATGGCATCCCCGCTATTGGACTGCAACACCCAGCATGTCTCACCTTAGGCTATACTAGCTAGTAAACTTGAATCCAGATCCTTCAGTCAATCCGGCTTCTTTGGTTTGTTTGGGTGCCCATACAACAAGGGCCCATTACGGATTCCCTTCCGTAATGGCACCACGTGGCACCCAATCTCAGCTCCTCCTCCCCTATTCGGTATCACAATTTAATCTTTTTGATTTTACTTTATTTTCTTGATGACTTTTATTTAGTGGAACTGACTGGGAGTTGGGGAGATATGAGAATGGGTGGGTGAGGTGCACATTTGGGGGCTTGGGAGAGTCACCCTTTTAGCTTTTTTTCCTTCTTCTCTTCCTCTCCTTCAAATACTTCTAAAAGATAATAATTATTAATCCCAGCAAACAAAAAGAAAACACTCGTTCTCTAAAAAATACTACCTGTAGTTACCTCTCCTCTAGAGTAGAAAGTAGAAACAGCTTTAAGGAAGCATTAAACCTAAAGAAGAAAGCAGAAAGGAGATTGAAGCGTGCCCCGCAGTTGAGAAAAAAGAGGGGTTTTTAAGGAAGCCCAGGGAAGATAGCTCCAGGTCATTGCTCTTCCATTCCTGGGCCTCCTTAAAATGAGTTGGAAAGCTACGTGACATGCCTTCAGCACCTCTCCTCTAGATCAGAAACAGCTGTAATGAAGGATTAAACCTGGTCTCCTCTACCAACAGGAGGGAAAGGATCACAGAAAGAGTGGTATTTTAACTCTGATGCTTTTTTAAATCCAGGTCTTAATGAAGGATATGGAAGGGGAGCCTGTGAGAAGTCCTCCTTCCCCTCCCCCCCCTCCAATAATGGGCCAGTTAGAGTGTTTTCTTAACCCCGTTGCTGACATCCAGGCTCCCTTGAAGGAAAAAGGGAAATAGTCCCAGTAATAGAAAGGGGAGCCTTGTACATTCCCGGCTATCTGTGCCTTTTTGGGAAGTGCACGAAAACGGATATGAGGTCTACCAGTATCTGGCCAGCAGAAACAAATCGAGGCTCAGTCAAAATGCACAAGCCTACTAGCTAGTGCTGCTGAGAGTGGCAATCCAACAACACTCGGAGGGCATATATCTGAATTAAAATGGACAAAAGGTTCCAGCTCAGGATTAAAGACAGACTGCAGTTACTTGAACACCCTTTTCATCTCTTTGGCCATGCCAGAGGAGGAGAGATGAAAGAGAAAAACTCAATACTGTGATATAACACTTTTTTTCTCGCTGTGCTCTGCTAAATTCACACTTCTAGTGGGAAAGAAATCCAGAGTCCTGCAATAAGTCAGAAATGAATAGAACTTATCTTCCTTAGAAATGCTGGTTCTGCAGTTTCATTTTGGAAGCTGCCTTTGAAGTTTCCCGTTAAAGTATTATGGCTTTCAGGTCAGCAGCAGAGCATCCTATAAGAAGAAAATGCTCCCCTGGTGGTTTTTGAACATTGCCATTTTTAAATCAGATGTGTGTCTTTTTATATTTATTTCCATTTCTATTTGTTTGTTCCTTTATGTATTTATGCTTTTGGCTTACACAAGAGACAATGAAAGAAACCTTCATAGGGAATCTGCTAGATCCTTCTCCATGTCTTATACTATATTGCAGTCTTAGTTTCATGAAATATCTCTTTCAGAGAGTGCTAACACCTCCCTAAACTACAAATTCCATGAATTCTTAGGATGCCGCTGTAGCAGTTAAAGTAGAACCAAAGTGCTATAATGATATAGTATGAATGGCTCTCATAGACTGCTTTGTCCATAATACTAAACCAATACTAGTTGTTTATGACAATGAGAATAGGTTCCCTCGAGCTTACATGCTTCTCCCCCCCACCCCCAAATCATTAAACTCCATTAAGCAAGGGTTTAATAAAACATTCAGGAGCTTTTTTGTCTTTTTTAACCCCAGTTTGCTATCTTTTCCCAAATAAACTGCAGTCAATCTTAATTTTGATTAGTATAAACCAGACATGGGCAAAATATTTTGTCTTCAGGGCACATTGTGGGCTCAGCCAAAAGGGAGGGGGTGGATACACACTTGGTGGGGAGGGCCTGAAAAAGGATGGGCCCAGGAGGAGACAGGGCAGGCCCTGGGTCATCCTCTGGTTGTACTCCCAGCATAAGAACGGGGCTACTCATCCCAATCTCATGCTGGGAGGAAAACAAGACACATGATGACTGCCCCAATCCTCCTTCCCACCCTCCTCCCCCAACCCTCAGGCTTCCTCTTGGCATTATGCCGAGAGCAGGACGAGACAGGAGGTAGCTTAGTGTGCTCTAGGGGGCTCTCACCCATCCTGTGCCTGCCTCGAGCCATCCTCCCAGCATAAGGATGGGGTCGCTTACACCATCCTTATGCTGGGAGGAGGGTGAGACACACTGTGGTTGAGACCACTCCAGAGGACTCTCAGCTGGTATGTGCCTTTCTCCCCCATCTTTTTGGCATAAGGACATGGTGGGCCACCATGGTAAGCATCAGGGTAAGCATCAGGGAAGCTGCATCCGGCCCCTGGGCCTCGGTTTGTCCATGCCTGGTATAAACAAACCATCTCCTAACTATATAGTTCATGAAGCTAGCTTGTCCTCACTAACCATAATTAAGATCAACCACAATTACCTGGGCACAGAAGCTTTTAATCCCCTCTTTTCAGTCATAATGGAGAAGGCACATGAAAGTATGCTATTTCTTGGAACTCTCAGTTATAGTTTCACTTTATGAACTAAATCAGTCTAACAAGGGCCAACTTTCTCACAACTTTACTTTATCAAATATCAAAAATGTTTGCTACCCATGCTTCCTATAATTGTTGTTTGTTAGTTTACATCTCAGCTTTCTTCCAAAACTGAAGTTCAAGAAAGCGTACAGAATTAAAACAGAATTAGAACACTACTTAGAAGACATTGGGAGGGAGGGGATACCAATTGTTGTTGTTATAATGCCATTAATCTATCCATGGAATGTAAAACATTTAAATAAATCAATTAAAAGATCAAAAGTCAGTAAAACAACACACTTTAACAGTCATTGGAGTCAATTCTTAAATGGGTGACAGAATAGAAAATCATTCACTTATCAAATGAGGAATATCAGGAAGGGAACCACTTTATTCTCCTTACATAGTTATATTAGTAGTTTATTACTAATGCTTGGACCATAGATCATTTACAATAAGTGGGTCTTCCTAGATAGGGAGTTTCAAAGCCTGGAAGCAGCCACTGAGATGGCCTTCTTCCAGATGTGATAGTAAAAGTGAGCTATGGTTTCCAACCTTTGGTCATCTAAGTGTTTTGGACTTTATTTCCCAAAAGTCTGAGCCAGTGTAGGCAATGGTCAGAAATTCTGGGAGCTGAAGTCCAAAACATCTGGAAAATCAAAGTGATACCTTTGAGTTTGAATGCATTGTCTTGAAATACGACGTTTATCCTCAAGCAGAGTTGTTCAGCTATGCCAACAATGTGTTGCAGTTGTACAATGCCAAATGGCTCAGAGAGGAGAACTCCTGTTTCTTGCTGCCCTCTACTGCACAATCGGTAAATCAAATTGACGTGTCCTGCAATGACTCTGGGGAAATGCTGGATTATTTTACGGTGCATTTAAACTGTATTTTTAAAAGATTGTACAGTTCAGAGCTCTTGAGAACACGAAGTCCAACTAAGACGGGGGATATTTAGGCCCCAGTTCCTGTAATCCTTTAAGTAGCCTATGCTGAATTCCTGATCAGAATTGCAGTACAACATCTGGGAGGAGGCAATAAAAACTGCATTCCCTCCTGTCTGCCACTGATTGACAGATGTATAACTGATCCATAGTGAAAGATTCCTACCTTCTACATTACTGGTAAATTAGTAAGCTATAGGAATGGCATTGAAGTTCTAGTAACAGCTAACACCATATACGTATTTTATTATTTCTTATGTTTTTATGTTGCTCATCCTCAAAGGAAGGCTGTACAGCTCTTCCCTGCTCTAACTTCTTACTATTCTTACAGTAAACTTGCAAGTTTATTTCAGGATTGTTCTGACAAAGAGTGACAGGATGCACGTCCTATTAGAATTAATGCAGTTTGACATGGTTAAGTGCCATGAAACCTGGGATTTGTAGATTGATAAGATATCAGCAGAGAAGGGAGACTGGCAGGACTGCTGAACGAAAGGTCAGCAGTTTGAATCCAGGGAGCGGGGTGAGTTCCCATCTGTCAGCTCCAGCTTCTCATGCCTTCCACAGGATGGTAATACATCCGGGCATCCTCAGGGCAACATCCTTACAGACAGCCAATTCTCTCACACCAGAAGCAACTTGCAGTTTCTCAAGTTGCTCCTGACATGGAAAAAAAAGCAGAGAAGGTTAAAGAATTCTAAAAATACAACTCCCAGAATCCCATAGCATTGGGCCAGGGCAGTTATAGTGCATTAATTTTGCAGTGTAAATGCAGCCTTAGCCAAATTGTGTTTCCTTGTCTTAATTCCAACACGATAATTCATATCCTTAATCAAGAGCATCTTTTGGCAATTCATTTTGTAATTAACATAATATGATTGAATTTATTTCCATTATCCTAACATATAGGACCAAACTTGGATTATTTTGACTATGTGGTCAGTGCTGGTTATTTTGAGGAAGGAAATAGCAGGAATGGTTGGCTAGATTTATTTATCCTTTTCCAAACAGATAGCAGTACTGTCAGAAACATCAATATATGACATATAGTTTATTTTATTTAGAGGGAAACCCTGTTAATGAGTGAGTTATCCTCATGCTGATATTGCTTGGTAGTGCTTGGCTTCAAAATGCAAAATTAACAAGCTTTTCTTGGGCAGCTCCAAAACTGTGCCAGATCTTGTGGGTTTAACTGTCATCGGTTAGCCTGTGTAAGTGTTCCCTAAACAGATGTTGAAGAAGATGTCCTTTTCAGCAAACACAATCTGCTGATCTGTGTTTGTTTATTTAAAAAATGACATCCTCACAAAGCAAGTAAATGGTGCTTCTACTTGTATAACAAAGCTCTTTTTAAAAAACAATAGTGATATTATAAAATCTTTTTCCACATTCAGTTTTTCAAAAAGCACATCGTATTTGCTGCTTTGTATCTGCATAACAATTTGGAGGGTGAAGCTGAAAAGGAGGAGTTCAAAAAAAGCCAGTGTGTGACAACTCTCAGATCTCATTTCACCATGACATTCCCTCTTTGATTCCTTTGTTTTTGTTTCAGCCTCTTTTTCTCCTACTATGTGTGTTAATGTTTGTGAGTCATCAGTGTGATATGTCATTTCCAACACTTTGATCAGTGCGTGCCTTTTCCTTCCTTCCCTTTTTTCCTTCACAACTTTTCCAGAGTGATCGCATAAACCCAGATGACATAGATTTAGAAAATGAACCCTGGTATAAATTCTTTTCAGAGCTGGAGTTTGGACGCCCGGTAAGTGAGGATAGAATATGAGTGTACAGTATTAGCTTTAGGAAAATAAGATGTATTGTACACTTTTGTAGATCCAAACACCACGATTTTTAGATGGTTCAGTCCATTAAAAGGGGGATCATTGTTACCCCGTGCCACTGATGTTGATGCAAGTTTTATATAGCAAAATTATATAAATATATAAATTTCCTTTTCTGGGAGAAGAAAATCCAACCAAGATTGAGTATGATAGTTTCTTAAGAATTGTGATCTAAATCAGATCACTGACACACTCCCTTTTATATCTTTGCTCTAGCCTACTGAAACATTGGGTTGCTGTGAGTTTTCTGGGTTGTACAGCCATGTTCCAGAAGCAGTTGCCAATTGCAACATTCGCATTTGCCTCAAACAGACAAGAGTTCTTTCTCCCACCCTGGACAATCCACAAATATACAAACCTCACTTGCCTAGTTTCCAACAGACATCACAACCTCTGAGGATGCCTGCCATATATGTGGGTGAAACATCAGGAGAAAATGCTTCTGGAACATGGCCATACAGCCCGGAAAACTCACAGCAATTTATTATTATTTATTTACATCACTTATATCCCGCCCATATCAGCCCGCAGGCGACTCAGGGCGGTCTACATATCGGCACAATTCGATGCCATCAATACAATACAAAAGCAAAAACAGTTAAGTGCAATTATACAAAAAAGACAGTGCAATGACAATTTAAAAAGAGCTATATCTTCTCATTCCAATCCTCGTCCATTTCATCGTCTTGGCCGTTCCTGGGTCATTCTCCATCTCAAGCTTGACTATCTATTCCGGGGTTCCGAATGCCTGCTCAAAGAGCCAGGTTTTCACTCTCTTACGAAAGGTCAGGAGGGAGGGGGCTGATCTAATATCCCTAGACAAGGAGTTCCACAGCCGAGGGGCCACCACAGAGAAGGCCCTGTCTCTCGTCCCCGCCAAGCAACCCGGTGATTCCAGCCATGAAAACCTTCGCCAACATACTGAAACATTCTTAACCTGGATATACTGACTAATCAAGACTAACAATTCAAAAGTATTCTAAGAAACACAATACCCTCAGTTCCTACCATATTATTATTGCTTTGATTGCACAATGAGAATGTCCATTTGTTTAACATAATACAAGATATTGTCTGTCCATTACAAAATAAAGCCATTTAAAATAAAGTAACTTAGCAGCATCAGCCTTAGTCAGTTCTTGGATGTCCATCAATGAATGGGATATATTTAAAAGGAAGGAAGTAGAAAATCCATTTCTGAGTATATCTTGCCTATAAAAACCTTGTGCAATTCATGGTGTTGCCATAAGTTGACAGGTGACTTGAAGGCACATGTGCATATCTCAGTTCAGTGCCACACCAGCATCCTGCTAGTATGATGAGGCAGTGTCCTCTGACCCGTTCTGAACTCTCTGAGCCATCCAAAAGTCACATCTATTATTATTATTATTATTATTATTATTATTATTATTATTATTATTATTATTTCTAACGCATCCTCTCTCCCCGAAGGGACTCAAGGTGGCTTCCAAAGTGACAGGCAAACATTCAATGCTACATCTAAAGTTTCCCAGCTTCTGGGGTGAGTTTAGGGAGTACACAAAGGGGGCATCAACAGGGAGAGAGATTGCCATCCATAGGATGGAAGAATTATCATCAGCAGAACCACTCTATTGGATACTGCTCTGTGAATGTATATGTAAGGAGAAACAGTCTTTTCCCCTCTCATCAGTATTCTGATGTCAGGCCCCAGAAATCCAATGCTGTTATCTCCATACAAGGAAGCAAAGGGCATGTCAGATCAACTTTAGGTATTGCATGACCTGCTGCCTCCTCCATACATAAGTGCTTCTGCTTCTGTTATGCATTGCTGCTGAAATAAGTGAATAAGGGGACCTTGGCTAGGGAAAAATATACACATTTCATATGGCCATCAACGTGGTGACTCTCTATGCCAAGGTTAGACTGAAGCAATTCAGATACCAGGAGGCTGAAGTATTTTTATGCCGTTTTTCTGGCTATGTCCCAACCTATTCTTAAATGCTCCTTAACCCACTTCCCTGCTTATACTTCCAGTAATTTCCAAAGCTGATTTAAAGGGTAGTGTCACTGACCAGTATCCAGCAGAGTTCTTCTGTTGGTAGATGCTGTTTCTTCCAAAAAAAAATCAGATGGATAAGATTATTGTTATCTCACAACCTCCCCTATATACTAAAAAAACTGCACCAAATGACATGAAAGCTTTTTAGATCAGATCAAGTTGATGTATGGAAGGCTAAAAGGGGAGAAGAAAAGTTATACTACAGGAAATGGTAACACGGAAACAGTCAGGCTTGGAAGACATGTTATTGAAGGTACTTCCTCCTTCATTGTGACTTGCAATTGCATTTTGCAGAAAACATTCACCATTCACACTGCTCCCCGCTGCATCTATCATGCTAGGTCCTGCTCAGTTTCATCACTTCAGAGAAAGCCTAATCACATCAACCCAAAGATAGCAAATGCCAAATTATATTTCTGTTTCATTGTGCAGAAGTTTCTTCTTCTATAATGATAAAGATTGTCACTGAGAATGCATTGATGGCAATTCAGTGTTGGGATGCCAAGGCATTTGTGCAAGAACCATAATACCTGTCATAATACCAGGTGTGTGGATTCAGACGACCACCGTGTTGATCTGGTGATTAACGTGTCACATGAAAGTCTGTTCTTTTGAAGTTTTCACTGTGCATCATCCCAGTGAGAACCTTTTGACTTTCCTAGGAGCAGCTGTTATTCTGTCAACATTCTCAGTAGAATCTGTCACCAGATTGGATTTCTTGCTAAATGAAAGCAGCAGCAATATAAAGCTCTTCTTCAGTAAGATGTAACAGAATTAAGCAGTATCCTGGCATTACAGTATTCTACACTTCTCTGTCCTTGCTTCACATTCTTGGCTGCCAGCAGCATTGGGACTTAGTAAGATCATCTCAATCAAGAGTCTAGATCTGTGGTTCTCAACCTGTGGATCCCCAGGTGTTTTGGCCTACAACTCCAAGAAATCCCAGCCAGTTTACCAGCTCTTAAGATTTATGGCAGTTGAATGCCAAAACCTCTGGGGACCCACAGGTTGAGAACCACTGCGGTCTAGATCCTAGATATTATAGTAGCAAGTGGAGAAAAAGACCTATGGCTGATGCTTTTGTACATTTACTTTGGGTCCTGCTTCTCAGACATATAATGCCCCGAAGTTCATCGAAGACCATACAAAGTAAATTTGTATGGTCATGATGTGTCATTGTTTGCATTCCAAAACCTATGTTAGATATGTCTCCATAATTAGATGACACAAATCAAATTTAGCATTGTTTAACTGATTTTATTAATAGCAGTTTAGTACAGTTCATCTATACCACAGTGGTTCTCAACTTGTGGGTCACCAGATGTTTTGGTCTTCCCAGAAATCCTTACAGCTGGTAAACTGGCTGGGATTTCTGGGAGTTGTAGGCCAAAACACGTGGGGACCCACAGGTTGAGAACCACTGACATAAGAGGAGGTATATCTCAGGTACATTCCACCCTCCACACTTGTTTTTCCACAGCTAATTCTGATGCAAGTCTGACAGAATAAATGGAGGCAGTAGAGAACAGCAGAACTTGTAACTATTACTACCCCATAAACTATAGATCCTCAGATAGATACCCTCACTCTAAAATACAGCAGAGACTTAAATAGGAGCCCATGATGTTTTCCCTGGCAGTCTTCTGACTTACTAGGTTTAAGACTGTTGGTTTTATTGGGACTAGAGTTTTACTAACTGCAGTAAAGGAAGGTTTATAAAGGTGTTTGGATAGTTACTGTCACTCATTCTCCACCCAAGTCTGCTCCTTACATTTTGTTATGTTTGTGCCACTCTTGTAATCTGTCAGCACTCAGTTTCTAACTATGTCACCTTCTCCATATGTTTCATTCCTTGCTGCCATTGATTCTCCTCCATTTCATCTCGCAATTCTGCTTATATGATGCAGCCTCCTAAAAAGATTTTGGATTATGTTCAAGACCATCCTCCAGGTCTTTCTAATGAGGTAAATCAAGCATGTTTCTTATATAAATGATTGATCCTGGGAACAACAGGTGTGTTGAAGCTCTTTGATTTGGTTGCTGTGTAGTACACATCTACAGGTAGTCTTCTAGTGTTTGGTGGGGGGAGGGGAAGGTTTCAATTAAGTATGATTCGGGGGGGGTTTACATGTATAACATGTAAGATTTAGTGGGCTGGATAGAAATTCCTTCTCATATCTAACATTAGTCTGCAGCAGATTGGACATTTATCTAGGTAACATTTCCAAAGCCCCACTTGGTTTATGATGTGTTTCAGCTTCAGGTTCAACTTATCCTACTGCAGTGGTTCACAACCTGTGAGTCCCCAGGTGTTTTGGCCTACAACTCCCAGAAATCCCAGTCAGTTTACTAGCTGTTAGGATTTCTGGGAGTTGAAGACCAAAACATCTGGTGACCCACAGGTTGAGAACCACTGTCCTACTGGGATACAAGAGATTCCTGACATGAGAGAAAGGTGTGTGTGTTTCTCAAACACACACATCCCTATTTGTAATGTGTAACTATGAACAGGAGTATTTAAATGCTATATATGAGACATTTGAAGTATTCTAAACCTTCTGCGTAAATGATGGGAATCCATACTGTATGGCCATGTTCACCTAGAGAAAGGACCAGTGTGTTTTACAGTGTGCCATATGACAAGACTGCTGTCAATAATATTGAAATACATTAAGTTACCAAGCACAAGTGCTATTGGCCTATAATATATTTCTGTCTTTCATTTTATAAAATACAACTTGGTGATTTATTTTTTTCATCTTCAAAAGACAACTGTAGCAAATTAACTAACAGCTGTTGAAAAAAGCACCATATAATGAGTAATATGCCAGTTAACAAAAAGATTTCAGAAACCATTTTTCTCCAAGATGTTGAAATCAGCAGGGAATGCATTTCTACCTTGCCTAAAGGAAATGAATCCTTTTTTCTAAAAGCACAGTGTTAAACAGTTTTGAAAATGTTCATTTTTCTTACTTAATCACAAACCTACAGTGATTTAAAGCAGAGACACTGGTAGGTGCGAAAAAATATTAATGGGCTAAGCCCATAGGGCTAAACTCTCAACAACCCTGTTTAAGTATTACATGAGAGCGACACAAAGAGCCGATATTGAACATAAAGTGATTTGGGAAATGCCCCCAAAGTTGAGCCATTCTCTGAAGCAAGTAAAATAATTTCCACCAGAGTTGTTGCCCTGATCAAAATGCAAGCCAAGCATCGACATTTCCAGGGTAAAAGAATTTTAACAGCGACGAGGGGGGCTAAGCATTAATCCAATTCTTTCAGGTGATTTCATGTATTTTCATTGCTACTGAAAGGGATTTAAAGCAAGCTTTATAGTGGTTTAGAAGAGTGAGACTTCTGTAAGAACACGTAGCTTCCTTCAGTCAATTTATTTGTCAAAAGTCAAGCAAGAACATGGCACAATGGCATGAGATTACAAATTGCAGCAATAAAGCAAAAAATATTAGAGGCTCATTCATACTGGGCAGTTATAACGCTGTTATTCCATGTTAGCTGCCATGTTTACATCCCATGAAATCATGGCATAGACTGAAAATGGGTTCTGACTGAACACCAGCTTTGCTTACCTTGCTTAGATCCTAGGGCCCTTTCACACAGCCACATTACCCAAAATATCAAGGCAGAAAATCCCACAATATATGCTTTGAACTGGATCATCTATGTCCACATAAACGAGCTGGCAGAACATTGGAAAAGCGAAAATGTTGGATAATAAGGAGGGATTAAAGAAAAACCTATTAAACATCAAATTACATTATGATTTTACAAATTAAGCACCAAAATATCATGTTTTACAACAAATCGACAGAGAAAGCAGTTCAATACATGGTAACATGATGTAGTGATTACAGTATTTATCAACTCAGCATGAAAACATCTCAATGTATTGAAATAGCTGTGGATCCGGGCAGGAGGAAGACGGCGTTGGATGAGCGAAGGTTGGATAAGCAAGACTATTGCATTCCAATTCAAAGCAGATAATATGGGATTTTATCCAGCTGTGTGAATGGGGGCCCTTGTGTAAAAGGCAGACTGCAAAAAAAAGGAACAGCTCAGAAAATTAATTTCTGAAATCCTGTAGAACAGTGTTTGGGAAAAGCTCATGCATACACACTTTTGAAAGGCAAGCAAAAGAAAGTCAAAATGATTTTAATAAAATTAGGAACTGATCTTCACATGGCTCAGTCTAAGACTTTTTTCCTTTCTGAAATCCCATCATAATTATCTGCCTTTCCAATGCTATCTACTCTCATTCAAACCTTTTTACATTTATTGCCTGCTCACATCAGAAGATTTTTTTAGGAGCAAATATTCCATTTTCTTAGTCATGCAAATTAATCCGATGTTAAGGATTGTTTCAAACAGTTTTCATGGCATCAAATCTTTTTCATGGCATGTTCCTTATGTGAAAGAAACCCACCTCTTTCAATTTTAAATAGGAGTTAATAAATTTATGGATAATTTAAATAAAGGCTTCTCATATTTCTTAACAAAGAAACGTCTAGAAGGAAATCTTTATGTTTACATTTGATGTTTGACATTGTTTCATTGAGAAATATTGCTAATCTTATTTAGGTCTTGTTCTACCTATAGCTTTTGTGTCCCATTATTTCAGAGACTGCCACTCAATCATGAAGGACATGTTTTGATTTCATAAACTCCCATCTTTGGAGTATCTAGTCAGAGAAATCAGTGGCAGGTGATGGAACAGGATTCTGTTCAAGTCCCTGGAGATCTGTTGCTAGTCTGAATAGTCAGTGTTTAATTAGAAGGACAGCTAGGGACCTTATCACATTCGCATCAGGAGTTGCTACGCATCATGGTGAATCCGTGGGGTCCTGATGGAGAACCCATCACCCCATGCTCTGCATAGCCTGACTTACTTTGGTCCCATCCCACAGGGCTCCCCCCCCCCCCATTTTTTGTAAATGCAACACAGGGAACCTCCCGTGTTGCCGCTGCAGCAGTATACACTGGTTCCTCTCCCATTTCGCCATGGAGCCCACTGGAAGTAAATATACGTCATGTAGTGAGCTCTGTGGCAAAAGGAGAAAGGAACGGGCATACGACAGGCAAATTAGTCCATATGATGAGGTCATAGGATGGATCACTTTCACACTACATAATTATAGCAAGTTATTCTATATTCACTTCCATGGAGATATGCAATGAAATCCTGGGACTGTTAGTTTAAGATGGGCTGTTTATATTTCTGAGCCACTGGGGTCTAGCACCAGGCTAAACTACAGATTTAGTGAGTGAGGTGTTTTGTTGTAATGATTGCTAGCTAAAGTAACAGTAGTCAACATTGTTTGAGTCACACATTGGTGGGGAAGCCAATAAGTAGAATTCTCCCCAAATTGTGGGTGGATGCCACAAAACGTGGGAAAGCATCAACAGTTCTCCAGTCTACTTCGGTTTCCTCCTAGGCTTCCAGTCCCTGTGGTGGAGCTGAAGATAATATGGATGTTTTGCTGCCCAGTGATGCTTTTACACTAGAATTTGTGCAATTGGACATCACTTTAACTGCAATGGCACAATTTTACAAGTCTTACAAGGTCTTTAGCTACCTCTGCTAAACTATGCTGGTGTCTCACCAAACTATAGTTCCCATGATTCTAAGGCAACAAACCATGGCAGTTAAAGTGGTGTCAAACTGCATTCATCCTACCATGTAGATGCACCCCAAGCTCACTAAAACCTGGAGTCCATCTTTCATAACAGTTCAAAACATCTTACACTATGTCATCCAACACATATGTGGCCTGTAGAGCAATGGTTCCCAAACTGTTTCATGGAATTCTATTTTTAAAACTAATGCAGTTCATGGAGCATTGTTTCCACTTACTAAAACTAAATGGATTTGTACATGGAAGCAATGCTGTATTAGATCATTTTCTGTAATCTATTTTAATTTAAAGCTATGTCAAATGTGAATGATTTAAATAGTCCTTCTTATTTACTACAAAGAACAGTAGCACATAGTATGAAAAATCTATTTCAGTTCCTTAAGTCATTTCTGAAATTACATAGCCTGAATGCAAAATATGTTTAACATGTAAATGACATAGTTTTATGTATCCATGAAATGCTGTCCCCGAGACAACTTGGTTCTTTTTCTAGCTCCTACAAACTGTAGTATAGTGTGCATCTAATTCCGGCTCAAGCTTTGACACTTGTTAAGTAGCCAGATTAAAAATAGTTGGCTCTAAGGACTTGAACTTATATTGACAAGTTTAACGTGTTTGCATTCCCGAAGACCACTCGTCTGTCCCTTCTTTGGGCAAAGAAAAGTCTTTTTGTTGGTGTAACAACCCACTCTGTACTTAACATGAAGTCTGAAAGGTTAACAAGTGGCTATGTATAGGTGTTTAAGCTATGTTTACAGAGATTTTCCGGCTTTATTTGACATTAATACTTTGGTAAGTAATCAGAGGGGATCTTGTGATGGGCGTTCAGCTATTAACTTATTTTGTTTTTTATAGCTTCTATAGTTTGGTTAGTGTAAACACGCAATAGCTAATTTTGGAAACAAGCTAGATAGGTATAGTTTGATGTTGGACTTTTGCCTTCGATCTGAAATAAAGGCTCTAACATAGACTTTGAAAGCTGCTTAACTTGTAAAGATTATTTTAAGTGTGATGGGTCATTTTACCTCGTTTGTGGAATTTCTCTGTACGGTTCTTATATAGTGATTTGTCATGTAAAATATGAAAGCAATCTAATATAAGCATGTAATTAACTTATGCATTTGTCTCTGCAGACATCTTTATATTACAGTCCAGCAGACAGACGCTTGGATAGACCTTCTAGGTAAGATAAACTTCACATATTAATACAGGTTGGGGTGGGACCCTTCCTAAACTATACAGAGAAATACTTGGTCATTCATGAAACAACTATTAATGAAAATTAAATATTCTTGGCTGTCCTTCTATGGGAAAACTTGTCCATATAAACAATTCATCTAAAGTGCAGACTGTTTTCCTTTTTTTTCCTAAATGTAAGCCAATAAAGAATGTTCTTACTAGATTCACTTCTCATTGTGGATCAGTAATTTGCTCATTGAATTGTAATTCATCTCAAAGCATGAGGTTTCCCTGTTCTCTGTTTTTGCAAGGTCCTTCACTAGATTCTTTAGTATCAACAATGTTTATGTTCCATGTTTGTTTGTTTTTTTAAAAAAAATGCATATGTCAAGGACTTTAAATGAAAAGAATTATCTGGTACTATAAGCTATGGTTATACTATATTCAGATTAACCATCACTAAATTTGGAGTTTGTTTCCAAAATGTATCAAATTCCTAAAAACTGAAGAATGAGTTAGAGCACATTGTTGGCTAGGTAAAGATAAAGGTTTCCCCTTGACATTAAGTCTAGTTGAGTCTGACTCTGGAGTGTGTTGCTCATCTCCATTTCTAAGCCAAAGAGCCGGTGTTGGCCATAGATGCCTCCTAGGTCGTGTGATCAGATGACTGCATGGAGTGTTGTGGCTCAGCTGGAGCCTCAGGAAGGAGATGATGGGATTCAGATGTTCCTGTTGTTTATGAAGAGGTTCAGTTTCCCATGGCAAGGAATGTTTCAGATTATGTTTCTGATGTTAGTGAAACTAGCCAGGTGCAGTTGGAGGAGGATGGCTCCCAGCCTGTCGAGAGCTCTAAAGATCTAGATAGGGAGGATCGCTTACAATTCAAAGTTCGCCGCAGTGCGAGGCTTGCTAACAAGAGGGAGGTTAGGAGTCAACGGAATGCATTCATGCTTTGAAAGTATATTAAACGGGGTGTTTGAAGACAAATCTTTGTCAGTGCAACTTCTGCAATAAACCTAGTAACTTCCTTGGATTGCCTTGGCTTTTAGGCATTGTTCTTGGCTTCATGGGACTCTGTCATGCTGTCATGGAATCTTGTTTGCTTGATGTCTTTTGGGTTATGCTTCATGCTGTTTGCTATTGAACTTTTGGAACTTTATCTTTGCATTTAAGGCTTTCCTTTTCTTCAATAAACTACAAAACCTTCAGCCTTTGTGTGGTTTGGTGTTTGGGAGCAAGGTGACTGTACTCTGAGCTGCGACATGGAGTTACTTTACCACCAAAGCAGTACCAATTGATCTTACATTTGCATGTTTTCGAACTGCTAGTTGGCAGAAGCTGGGTCTAATAATGAGAGCTCACCCTGTCCCGTAGATTCAAACCCCTGACCTTCCAGTCAGCAAGTTGACTCTGAGCTGGCGAACGTTGAGCATTAGATTGGTTTTATTGATTATGATGTATAATTGATTGTTTTAATTGTTTTAAATTGCTGTTTATATATGTTTTATCTTATTGTTTGTGTTGGCATCGAATTGTGCCTTTTGTAAGCCGCCTTGAGTCCCCCCTTGGGGGTTGAGAAGGGCGGGGTAGAAATGTGTAAAATAAATAAATAAATAAGTTCTGCAGCTTAGTGGTTTAATCTGCTGCACCACCACAGTCCCTCACATTATTGGCTAGGAGTAGAATATTACATACAAATCAAAATTTATCAAAAGGTATTTAATCACTTTGATACTTGGAAAATTGCATTTTATACCAAAAGGATGCATATTCTCAGCACTTTATTTTTTGGGATTTTTTTTTATTCCTGGAAATTTAGTCAGATGGATTTAGTATCTTTTAGAAACAGTCTCCACAAATGTAGTATATCTTACTCAAGCTTATAATTGAGTAAGAAACACTACATTTGTGGAGAAAGCATAAAAATGAAAAACAGTGAAGAAATTCCAAAATCCTAATTTGCATTCTGGCCAACAAATTTTCTTGGCCATGGGCATATCTCTGTATGTTTTAAAAAAAGTCTGAATCCAGGCCACTGGGGTACAAATTTTCATGAAAATTGTATATGGCAATTTATATCTCTATATAAACTACTAATTGTTAGGGTTCATTTACATTTCATTGAAGGCCAACTAATATCAGGTTTTATATCTTACTAGCTGTACTTGCCACACGTTGCTGTGGTCAACGTTCCCTCTTTCTCTTCTTCCTTCCCTCCCTCTTCCCTTCCTTCCTTCCCTTTTTTTCTTTCCTTCTAAACTTTTCTTCCTCATCCCTTCCTCCCCCTCCCTTATTCTTTCCCTTTCTTTCTCTACTTTCTTCCTTCTCTAACGATTCTTGGACAGCAACTCCCAGCAGTCATCCTGATTGATCTACCTACCTACCTACCTATCTATCTCTATCTAATCTATCTATCTTCTCTATCTGGAAGATTGTTGGGAGTTGAAGTCAAGGAATAGGAAATTGGAAATACGCAGGGATTGAGATGCTTTCAAAGAAATCCAAAGAGAAGAAAGCTTGCAGCTTGGAAGCAGTGCATTTGGATCATCATCCTCTCCTAAGGGACCTGGTCTAAGGGATGCTGGGAGCTATAGTCCAGAAGAGAGTGTGGATATGCTATTGTGTGTTTTGTTTGCCGGGGGAATTGTTTTTGCACATGTGCTGTAGTGTCTTTTTGCTCTTTTGACTTTTTAAGTCCCTTCTGCTGTGTTTTTCAGTCTTTTTATGAGTGATAGTCACTCATTGACCTAATAGGTGTATTGTGTCCAAATTTGGTGTCAGTTCGTCAGTGGTTTTTGAGTTATGTTAATCCCACAAACGAACAGAGCATTTGTATATATAGATTGCAGTCTTCTGTGAGCTCTCTTTTCGCTTTCCTCATCTTTCAATAAATAATATTGTATAAGCACTACATTATTTTTCTTTTATTTGTACCTTTTTAATATCATTTTGGACATTTACAAAGCAGCCATAATGAAATCAAAACACAATCAGTAGAATCAAAATTTGCATATTGTTCTTCACTTATTCCAAATGGCATTTCCCCCTGCCATAAAATAGCACCATCTGGTATCTGTGTTTTTAAAATGTGTATGGAAGTCCCCAAAATGTTGTAGGGACTAAAACATAATATGTATTGTGCATAGTATTTTATTAGGATCAGAACAACACTACCTAGCAAGTGACAATTCTGACTTGAAAAACACTTAAATAAAGCTTGATTATGTATGACATTTTCGATATGCTGTATGATCTAATCTTAGTTTTACTTTTAGAATTAATATATAATTAAGGTGACTGTGGTGGATGAGATTGTTGACAGATTATTGAAGGTTTTTATAGATTTGATCCACTCAGTGAAATTTATATTATTTCCTTAGTTCTGCAAGTACAGCAAGTGACTACAGGAAACGAAGGAAGTCAGAGCCTGCGGTAACTAATCAGAAGCCACACAGCGATCAAAACACAAACCGGGCCAGCCTGGGCCGTACAGACACGCAGAGCACATACTCTACTCTTCGGAAGCCTGTTACAAGCTCTTCCCCATCTTCTCCATCAAGAACAAAAGGTAAGAAATGCATGCAATTGTAAGTGGTCAACAATCTAGTGACATATCTATTACTGTTTATTAACTGCAAAATATCAATTAGTAATTGATGGGGCCAAAGTGTTACTAGACAGTCAAGATGCCCATTGGCAAATGTGGAAAAAAATTTGATTACTATAGTAATATACATCTCTAGAGCTCAATATTTAAAACTCCATCACAATTCTTCCTTTTTTATTGCAGTCAAGGGAGGGCAGTAATTTTTGACATTTCCTATAATTACATGTCATCTTTTGCTGTATTGACAGAGAGAGAAGATTCTATTTTGGAGCACTTCTATCATACAGAAGTGTGACTTAGACATAACTTTCACCATGACATACAAGTCTTACTGTGCATTTTACCCCAATACTGTGGATTTTTATATATAGAATATGAAAATGCCTTGTGTCTTTAATTAGTATTACTGTATTTATCGTATTGATTATTGAATACTTGTGGGTATTGAGAAGTTAACTCATGTTAGTTCTGCCAGTTCTTTTAATCTTTGAGCAACATTGATCCTTGACAAGATGCATATGGCATATATAGCATGCTGGAAACTATAGTACCCAAAATGACCCTTTCAAACTGTAGTCTGAGGTTTATCTATCCCAGCCTTAGGCAAACTTTGGTCCTCAAGGTGTTTTGGGCTTCAGCTCCCACAATTCCTAACAGCCTCGGGCCCTTTCCTTTTATCTCTCGGTACTTTAAGTGGCGGAGGGGGAAAAGGAAGAGACCTGAGGCTGTTAGGAATTATGGGAGTTGAAATCCAAAACACTTGGAGGGCCAAAGTTTGCCCATGCCTGATCTATCCACTATCATCTCAGTAGCACCGTAAATCCTGAAACCTCTTTTTAAATCCCCAATCAAAGAAACAATTTGACTGGTGATAAATGCTAACACTGATGTTTCTTGGTTAATATTTTGACATGTTCCTGCATTGATACAGGAATTTCCTTCAACTCTTTTCCACCAATCATATTAATGTTTCAAAATTTAGAATCATGCAGAAAGGGCCATTAATACATACCACTATTTCCTACCAGATTGCCACCTGTCTGAAAATGGTTTTCGTGGTACTAGAATAAAATCTAAAGTTACCCCAGAATGCCATTGCACATTACACTGAATTACATTCCCCAAAAATGGTTCTCTTCCTAAATATATCCCACTTGTTAGCTACAAAGCACTCTAAAATCTAAGGTGATGGTTTTCGTGGTACTGGAATAAAATCTAAAGTGACCCCAGAATGCCATGGCACATCACACTGAATTACATTCCCAAAAAATTGTTTTCTTCCTAAATGTGTTTCACTTGTTCACTACAAAGCATTCTAAAATCTAGGGTGACTAAGGCCCCATCTATACTGCCATATAAAATTCAGGCTATCTGCTTTGAACTGAATTATATGTCTGTATGGACTAATACAATCCAGTTCAAGCAGATAATCTGGATTTTATATGGCAGTGTAGATGCGGTCCGAAACATTTGCTCACTTATTTTTCTTAAATAATAATAACAACAACACTTAAATTATATTCTGCCTTTCTCCCCATGGGAACTCAGAGCCATTTACAGTGTAAGAAGATACTGGCAAATATTCAATGCCTTGTTACAATACAACAAGGCACACAAATACAAACAAAAGGCAGAGGCTTCTCCTTTCATTTCCGGCTTTGGTGGCAGTGCTCATCTCTGGCTCTGGGGGAGGTGCTGTTCTCCATTTCCAGGAGTTCACCCCATCCTGCAGATTCGAACTACCGACCTTCAGGTCAGCAGTTCAGCAGCACAAGGGTTTAACCCATTGCACCACCACGGCCCCATGTATACATTCTGTAACATTTTCCTGTTGGTTTCATATTAGTACTTGGAGGAGATTGCACTGTCTTGTCATCCAGCAGAGCTTCATTTAAAAAATACCCTCTTTATCCACACTATTAAATTGCAGCTTTTCTCAATCCAGCTGACAATACAGTCATTTAAGAAAAAGTACATTTTCAGTCCTAGATGTCTAAGTTAATAGGGGGACTCTTTCTTCGATTGTTTTAAAATATTGAGACTGTCCTGCTATCAGTTTCTGAACAGGATACGCTGTCAATTTTGATTGTCCCACTGGTTGATGGCGATCATTGTGTAGACCCATTTTTGTATTAGGAAAGCTATTAAACCTCCCTGATCTGTACATGATATATCTTCTGGGATATGTGCCATGTCTTTTCGCTTCAAAAATGTTATTTGTTGCACCTTCCATTACAAACACTTGAAAGAAGCTAAGCAGGGTCAGTTCTGGTTAGTACTTGGATGGGAGACCACTAATAAATACCAGGTACTGTAGGTTATATTTCAGATGAAGGTACTGGCAAAACTATTTCAGATGAAGGTACGGGCAAAACTTCTTGTCTAAGAAAACATTATGAAATTCATGGGATTGCCATAAGTCCTCAGGCAACTTGAAGGCACATGCATGCAAGCAATTGGTGATTATAATTGTGTTTTTATGTAGATTATTAGCACCCTAATTTAAGAGGTTAAAATTGAATAAATAAAAACAAGAGTACAATGCTATGCATGTCTATTCATACGTAAGTACTACTGAATTCAACAAAGTTTACTTCCTGGTAAGTGAGTTTTTGGAGGATTACAGCCCACATGTATGCTTAGATGTGTTTTTCTTCCTCAATGCTTTTATAACATATATCTAGGATTAGTGCTTAAAGCTATGATAGGATGAGTAATTACTGTCTCCTCTCTGTTTTTTCTGGCATGTTCTATTGACTTTTCCCCCCTTTCTACTTCTGAATCTGTTAATTTCTGGCAATGTCTCTTTTTTACCATGCTGCTCTGTGGATGATAAAGGTGGGGATATTAGCAAAGTGTGTCCGCCCCTTTCCAGTTGTTCAGTGCCCAACCATAGCACCTCAAATGAATTAGATTGCTGTAGTAACTATGGGCAGCGCTTGTCTGTACCCGGTGACTCAAGAAGGGCTATTAGCTACAAGAATGGCTGGCAAATGGCCCGCCAAAACGCAGAAGTCTGGAGTAGCACAGAAGAGACGTCCTCCTCTCCCAAGCGGAAATCTCGCAGTTGCGATAACCTGCTGGCAGATGATCATTGTGGATTTCCTGACACACAGAATAAATCCGAAAGCATGGTATCTTTGCTATGTGAGGAAGATTCCAAAGGCGGCTCCAACCTTTCCTGGGCTTCTCCATATGCTTCTGAAATCCATGGGTCTAGCCGTTCAAGGGCCCGACACAGATCTGCCCACGATGCTCCCGGGTTCCTAAAAATGTATAAGAGGATGCACCGCATCAATCGCAAAGACTTGCTGAATTCTGAAGTGATTTGCTCGGTAAAGTCCAGGGTATTGCAGTACGAAAAAGAACAGGATACAGGTCTGCTGCAGGACTGGAAAGACTTATCTGCTGAGGAGGTGCCAAGAGATATGGTCCCCAACAGAATATCTGAATTTGAAAAACTAATTAAAAAATCGAAGTCCATGCCAAATTTAGCCGAAGAAGCGTTATCGGCAGTAACCCTCCTCGAATCCCCTAAAAATGGTTTCTGCCCAAACAGGCGGTTCTCTATTGAGTCCTTGCTGGAGGAAGAGAATCAGGGTAGACACACTACTCAGGTTCAGAAGAATTCCAAATCAAAAACTCTTGTGCCAATACACATTGAGGTGACCAGTGAAGACCCTCAAAGGTCTCACGATTTTTCAGACAGTGACCAAGATGGGGTAGTCTCTGATCTCAGTGACTTTATACAGATAGAAGGCTCTTCCTTTTGTAGTGAAAGCGATTTTGACCACTTCTCGTTTACATCTTCGGAAAGTTTTTATGGGTCGGGTCATCACCATCACCACCACCACCATCACCACCACCATCACAAGCATCTCATCAGCTCCTGCAAAGGCCGATGTCCCGCGTCGTACACCCGCTTCACCACGATGCTAAAGCATGAAAGGGCTAAACAAGATCCCGCTCCAGAAGAACCTAGACGGCAAGACTCCGACTCTGGACTCTCAAAGATAGCGTTCCTAGTCAGCCCAGTGCCTTTCCGGAGGAAAAAAAACACGGTTCCCAAAAAGCAGACTGAAAAGACAAAATGCAAATCGTCAGTCTTTGATGCTCTGGACTCTGCTCTTAAGGACATCTGCGACCAAATCAAAGCAGAAAAAAGAAGGGGGAGTTTGCCTGACAACAGTATATTGCACAGACTTATTTCTGAATTGCTTCCAGACATTCCTGAAAGGAATTCCTCCCTCAAAGCGCTTAAAAGGAGTCCTATGCACCAGCCTTTTCATCCACTGCCTCAAGATGGTGCTATTCATTGCCCATTGTACCAGAATGAATGTGGAAGATTACCTTTTAGTGCCTCTTACCAAGACATGGATACAGCCAACAACGGCAGTCAAGAAAGTGATAGTACACTATGTTTCCAAGGTGGATTACCTCCTTTTCTCTATGCTTGTGATTGAGTCATTCATCTGTGTCCCTTTCATTTCCAGCCCACTTGCATCATACTTATGTTGTGTATTTTTATGCCGGATAGAAATTAAATGTTTGTTGTGCAAAACGGTAATAGAAGTGCAAGGGTCAGTGATGAGATTAGAGCTGTCTGTGCATAAAGGTGCAATCCCCAGACCAAACAGGGAAAATACAAGCTTTTATTAGGATATTTATATAGGGATTTAAGATATAAAAGTGGTGACATTGATGCCATTATGTTAAAAGATCTTTTCAAAAAAAACTTATCTAATGTATATGCCCATATTTTTAATAAAAATATGATTGGGACAAGAATTTCTCAATAAATATGCAAGCAGATGAATAAAAAAGTGTATTATAAAAACATACAATTGAACAATGGACAAAATGCTCATTTATAAGTCAGTCCTAATTCTATTAACTTTGCAAATTAGCATTCCATTACAGCAGATTTTTCTTTTGCTTTTCTCACTTAAAGACATAGGACAAAATAATCTTTGTAACACATATTGTGCAAAACTTATGCTACAAATGTCTATCCCCCAGTTAGCCTCAGGTACTACAGGGGTATTTCATACATTGGTATAGACCAGTGGTTCCCAACCTTTTTTTGACCAGGGACAACTTTGACCAGAGATTACTCTTCATGGTTAACCAAATCAGTTTGTGGTCAATTTTAGATTCTGTTTGGTTATTTGGGGTACTAATTCAGAGTATAGACTAACTTGAATACTTTTGAGCACAGGCCTCCCGAGGTAAATGCTCAATGTATTTCTCATGGTGGCAAAAATAGATATCTTTATTGCTTTTAAAACACCCTAATTCAGTTTTGAGATGTGCAAAGCTCACAGCAAAAAGAGATGGTGAGTATTGATGTAGTAATTGGTATATAGTAATCACAAATTAGATAAATCAGCTTAACTACATATTTTAACAAACAATTACTTTGGAGTTACTTAACAGCATAGCTTAGCATTTAATAGCATTCACCTCAACAATGGCCTGATTTGTGCATAACACTAACCCAGTCGATGACCAACACTAAATAGCAAGACCAGATTCATGAGATTGGATTAAATAAGAACCACTTTCATTGACCTATTAACTATTCAAGATTAAAACTTGCTAGAGGGGGAGAACAACCTGGCAGGTGTCTATCAGAGGCATCACCTCTCCAGTCTCCACTTGAGTAAAAACACATAACCCCGAGGACAATCCAAATTTATTTTGGTATTGCTCACCTCATACTATCATATTTTAGAAGGCACACCTAGGGAACATTTCACCCACATCTGTGGCAAGCATGCTCAGAGGTTGTGATGTCTCACAACTTCTGAGGATACCTGCCATAGATGCGGGTGAAACGTCAGGAGAGAATGCTTCTGGAACATGGCCATACAGCCTGGAAAACTCACAGCAACCCAGACTCGAAAATACCTTTTTTTTACTCACCACCTAGTGATTACTAGTGTTGAAGTATATACTTTGCTTTAACTTCCCCAAAACATTCAAGGGCTGTTTTGTTTTTTCCTTCACATTCCTTCACATTTACTTAACACTGCTTTCATAATAAACATCTTAAGTATATTTGTCCACTAAATTCAGAGGGATGCAGTTCCTGATAAGCTTACAGAGTACAGTTTGCATCCCATTCAAGTGAATACATAAAAACAAACCATTGTGACATTGCAGAAGCTTCCAGAGCTGTAAATGTTCCTTCCATTGATCCAAGGTGAGAAGTTGTCCATGTGGTTCTCTGTCCCAAGCTTATTGTTATTTTAGAAACAGAAACACCAGGCTGGGGCGAGATCTGGATGTCAAATGCAGTGTTTTGCTCTTTTTTTTCCTCCCGGAAAATACCACTCCTTTTGTCAAAGGCTTTCATGGCCGAAATCACTGGGTTGTTATGTGTTTTCCGGGCTGTATGGCCATGTTCCAGAAGCATTTACTCCTGATGTCTTGCCTGCATGTATGGCAGGCATCCTCAGAGGTTGTGAGGCCTGTTGGAAATTAGGCAAGTGAGGTTTATATATCTGTGGAATGTCCAGGGTGGGAGAAAGAACTCATGTCTGCTTTAGGCAAGTGGGAATGTTGCAGCTGACCATCTTGATTAGCCTCAAGCAGATAATAGTTCTTTCTTCCACCCTGGACATTCCACAGATATATAAACCCCACTTGTCTATTTTCCAACAGACCTCACAATCTCTGAGGATGCCTGTCATAGATGCAGGCAAAATGTCAGGAGCAAATACTTCTGGAACATGGCCATACAGCCCAGAAAACACACAACAACCCAAGACCACTCCTATTTACATCTCAGGGCTATTTTGTTGAAAGGGACATCTTTATGGCCAAGCAAAACTGGTAGGTCAGATTTCACCAGGAAGATGATACAAGAGAAAACCTTGCAGTTCCCTCAATCCAGATTCTACCTTCCTGCAGTGTCTTAAAAATAACACACACAGGTATACATAAATACAGGTCCAGATAAACCGATCATAAGGAAAAGCAACAATTCCAGCTTTATATGAAAGAGAAACTCAATTGTTGTTTCGGATAACCTGATAAAAGCTTAGCTCCTCCTCCTATTATCGTGGCATGCTTTCTGCACATTCCCCTGCATGTGGTTACATGTTTCAAGTCATATTATTCATCGCTATGCCTTTCTTACCTTTTGCTTCTTTGGTGTTTCATACATCTATTCCTCTATAGTTGCTTGATTCACTGTTGTATATCTTAGAATTAGGAAATGTGTTCCAGTTGTGTTTTTCTCTTCAGTTGGTTCCCTTTGAAACTATAAAGTATTTGTAATTTCCATATTTTGTTCCATAAGTTTCTGTTTTTTTTTTGTTTCTTTATATATTAGCCTCACAGCTGCCTTTTATGTATATTTGAGGCATATTGCCCCTTGAAAAAAAAAGCTAGCAGCTTTACCTTTTGCGAGTTTATCATAAAATGGTCTTTTATTTTCAGTAGACCAGGACTCCCCTGGGAACTATTCTTCAGCTTTCATTGATGTGGGTCGATGTGCTCCAAAAGAACGAAGAGGAACTCCAGAGAGAGAGGTAGTTAAAAGGAAATGTATACAGTGAGTTCAGAGCCAAAAGGGCACCTCTGAAGTAGCCCACAGAGACTTTTATAAAGCATTTATAGAACTACTGTTTATCAACAGTACTTTTTCTTGCCTAGGTGCTAGAAAATAGGTACTTTTTTGCAAAAAGAACAACAATGGAATGAGAATAGAAAAGGGAAAGTAGAAAAGAAGAATGGAATAATGGTGGATATAATATTTGAAAATTTTCAAATAATGGTTGAAAAATGTTTTTTAATTATAAGAAAATGTGTTGTCAAAGGCTTTCATGGCCAGTAGCACAGGGTTGCTGTGAGTTTTCCAAGTTGTGTGGCCATGTTCCAGAAGCATTCTCTCCTGACGTTTCACCTACATCTATGGCAGGCATTCTCAAAGGTTGTGAGGTCTGTTGAAAACTAGGCAAATAGGGTTTATATATCTGTGGAATGTCCTGGGTAGGAGAAAGAACCCTTGTCTGCTTGAGACAAGTGTGAATGTTGTAATTGGCCACTTTGATTAGCACTGAATTAGGGGAATTCCAGACAGGAAACAATCAGGGCCAGGTAACACCTCCCAACAAAGGATTACCCCGTGCAGGAAGTAGCCAGGCTTTGAAGTTACAAGACCATTCAGTGCTAATCAAGGTGGCCAATTGCATCATTCACACTTGCCTCCAACAGATAAGAGTTCTTTCTCCCACTCTGGACATTCAACAGATATATAAACCTCACTTGCCTAGGTTCCAACAAACCTCACCACCTCTGAGGATGCCTGCCATAGATGTGGGTGAAACATCAGGAGAGAATGCTTCTGGAACATGGCCGTACAGCCTGGGAAATTCAGAGTAATCCAGTTATAAGAAAAAATCATAGTCAAGAGTCTTCCCAGTTTCAGACTTATTTTACATGGAAAACACTAATGAGTTTTTGTGCACGAAAAAAATATTGCTGTCTTGTGCAAAGAAAACTTCACAAGCCTGTTTTCTGGGGGGGGAATCAATTTCTGGCACAAAATATACAATTTTTGGAAATAATAAATTCCAAACTTATAATGCTGTTTGCTAGCTTAAATATCCCAAAGGCACCAGATCCTATCTGAACATGGAAGCTAAGCCAGGTCAGCCCTAGGCTGGATCTACGCTGCCCTCTATCCCAAGATCTGATCTCAGATTATCTGCTTTAAACTAGATTATATAAGTCTCCACTGCCATGTAATCTGGGTAAAGGTCTAGTTGAGTCTGACTCTGGAGGGTGATGTTCATCTCCATTTCTAAGCCAAAGATCCGGCTTTATCTGTAGATGCCTCCTTGGTCATGTGGCCGGCATGACTGCATGGGGTGGTACCTATTGCATGTTTTCCAACTGCTAGATTGGCAGAAGCTGGGGCTGACAGTGGGAGCTCACTCCATTCTGCAGATTCAAACCACTGACTTTCTGGTCAGCAAGTTCAGCAGCTTAGTGGTTTAACCTACTGCACCTCCGCAGCCCCTTTAATCTAGGATAAACAGATAATCTGGAATCAGATCCTGGAATATAGGGCACTGTGGAAGAGGCCCTATTGTGTACTTGAATAAGGGAAACCTCAACAAATACCAAGTGCTGTAGGGGTAACTGACTGGCAAAACCACCCCTGAGCTTTCCTTGCCTAAGAAAACTCTATGAATTTCACGGGGTACCCATAAGTTGACAGGTGACTTGAAGATCGACAAACACAATATTCTGAAAACTGCAGTTTTCCATTTCTTTCTCTCAACAAGACTAAGATTGGTAAAATTATTCATTCTTGACTGTGAGAATGAAATCCATAAATATGTACATATCCTAAGAGAGATTTCACAACCTCTGAGGATGCTTGCCATAGATGCAGTCGAAATGTCAGGAGAGAATGCTTCTAGAACATGGCCATATAGCCCAAAAAACCTACAACAACCCAGTTCCTTGTTATGTTTCACATTATACATAATTCTGGAAAACATGTTACATGGATTACTTTCTTTACCTCCTTTTCAGAGATTACCAGCTAAAGCAGTCTATGATTTTAAGGCTCAAACAGCAAAGTAAGTACCAGTGACTTTTATTTTTCCCTTAAAGAATTCCCTATAGATGTTACTTCAGTTTCCATAGGGGGGGGGGGGATCTGTGGTACCATGTTAAGAGACACAAATGAATCTCTGTTTCTGATGTAGATAAACTACCCTGGGCTGATTGCATATCATTTGTGAAGCCTGTGATGTGCATATGTTCTATAATTTAACTAGACATCAATCTCCATGGTGTCTATTAATGGATGGATGTAGTTTTAGGTTGCTAAACTATGGTCCCTGGGAATTCTTGAGAGTGAAAGGGAGGTTGTGAGAATATGGGCAAATTCTCTCATTTATGTTCTTGTCATTGTATACATACAGTACCCACCAATTTTTTTGCACAGATGCACACTCAGTTCTTTCATCATCCATCTTTTCTCCTTTTCCTCTTTCTCGCATTCTCCCCTTCTCAAACAGAAACATATACACAATCTCCCTGTTTCTCTCTCACACACACACTCTCTCTCTCTCTCTCTCTCGCTGTTTCTCATAGAGATGTGCTCATAAGGTAAAGGTTTCCCCTGATATTAAGTCTAGTCGTGTCTGACTCTAGGGGGGTGCTGCTCAACCCCATTTCTAAGCTGAAGAGCCAGTGTTGTCCGTAGACACCTCCAAGGTCACATGGCCAGCATGACTGCATGGAGCACCGTTACCTTCCCGCAGATGCAGTACCTATTGATCTACTCACATTTGCATGTTTTCAAACTACTAGGTTTGCAGAAGCTGGGGCTAACAGTGGGAGCTCACCCCTTTTCCCTGGATTCGAACTGCCAATATTTCAGTCAGCAAGTTCAGCAACTCAGCGGTTTAACCCGTTGCGCCATCAGGGTGCCCTTACACATGCTCATACACATCATAAATCCAGTCATAGAAGCATGCATCCATCATTTCATTCTCTCTTCCATTTATACAATTCACAGATACACTATACTATACACAGATACTCTTCACAGAATCACAGAGACACAGACAAGCAGGCACTCTTCCATTTGTACTTCCCAGTTCACTTTAGGGAAACATATTGCTCTGTACACTTTCTCCCTCTCTTCTTTCTTTCTTTCTTTCTTTCTTTCTTTCTTTCTTTCTTTCTTCTTCCATATAGTGGTGTTCTTCCTCCTCCCTTTTCTTCTTCTTTCTCTTTTTCTTCTCTTCCTCTTCCTCCTCTGCCTTTTTTCATTTTTCTCTTCTTTTTTCTCATGCTTGCAATGGCACAAAGGTAATAGGGATTGTATAGAAGATTATCAGGCCCATATGCAGGTCACCTCCATCTTAGATTGCTGCAAAGCAATAGTTCTGTGGATTGTGGCAAATGAAATTTAGAACTGCTTTGGCTATATCAAGCATGGGCAAACCTTCTAACTTGGGGGCTGCACGGGGGGCTGGAGCAGGGTAGGTGGGTTGGGAGGGAGGGGTTTCTCCCCAAATCCCCTTGCTGTCCTTTCCTCCTCATCCTCTTCTCTTTTGGAATCAGAAAGTGAAGGAAATATGGGAAATGTTTGGATACTAAAAGGTTTGGTCTTGATCAGGATTAGATGGTGGGTGGGAGATAAAAAGTGTATTCATTAGATCCCATATTGCCTACTTCTGATGAGTTGGACGAGACCTCCAAGGGCCATCCAGTTCAACCCCTTGCGATGCAGGAAGGCACAATCAAAGCACTCCCAATAAGACTCCAGAGAAGGAAACTCCACCATACTCCGAGGTAGCCTATGCCACTCTCCAAGAAGTTCTTCCTAATCTTTTCAGTTGAATCTCTTTCCCTGCCATTTGAAACCATTACCCCCTTGTGCTCTGGTTTCTAGAGCAGCAGAAAATCAGTTTTCCTCCTCCTGTTCAATGGGACACCTTTTAAATCATGTTCCCTCTCAACCAACTCTTTTCCCAGCTAAACATCCCCAAAGAAGAAAGGAGGAAAGGAAAAAGTGAAGGAAGGGTGGAAAGAAGGGTGGAATGGAATTGAAGGAGAGAAGGGAGGGAGGCAAAAGAAAAGGAAGGAAAGACAAAAGGGAAGGAAGGCCAAAAGGGTGGAATGGAGGGAGGGAGGGAAAAAGAGAGAGAAGGAGGGAAAGACAAAAGGGAAGGAAAGAAGGAAGGAAGGAAAAGAGGGAGAGAAGGAAGGAGGGAGGAAAGAGGGAAAGAAGGAAAGACAAAAGGGAAGGAAGACCAAAAGGGTAGAATGGAGGAAGGGAGAAAGAGGGAGGGAGGAAAGAGAGAAGGAGGGAAAGACAAAGAGAAAGGAAGAAAGGAAAAGAGGGAGAGAAGTAGGGAGGAAAGGGGAAGGAAGGACAAAAAGGTGGAAGGGAAGGAGGGAGGGATAAAGAGAGAGGGAAGGAAGGGAGGGAAAGAGGAAGGAAAGAGAGAAGGAAGGAAGAATAGGATGAAAGAGAGAAGGGCCTGAGAAAAGAGTCCAAGGGGGCACATCCAGTCCCCAGGCCTGGGATTACCCATACCTGGGCTATATGAACAAATAACTTCTTTTGTCTATGCTTGAATATGTAAGCCAAGGTCAAAACAGGCTGGAAATCATGGTTTGGAATTGCTTTGCAAAAATTGGTTCAAGATTGCTACCGTTAAGTGTTACATCAATACCATGTAAACCATGGATAGAGCTGGTTTTGAATCTCCTTTTTTACAAGAAAGACATGTTTTGCTGATTGCTTCCTATAAATCTTTGCACAGGCAAGTCGTAACTCTGAATTGAACCAAAATGTCATTGTCTATTTGAGGTTATAACCCATATTTTAAGCAGCAAAGCACAGTCACATAAAAGCATGGGAAAGTTCTGTATTTCAAACTGCTGTGTGTTCATGGTTTTTATTCTACTCATCTTATATAAAGGCAATTAAAATTCAAATTGGCAAAAACATGTCCTTAGAAAATCCAGATCTCTATCACTGTTTATAAACATTCACTGCAGGGAGCTGTCCTTTAAGAAAGGAGATACTGTCTATATCCTCAGGAAAGTGGATCAAAACTGGTATGAGGGCGAGCACTATGGAAGAGTTGGAATTTTCCCTATATCTTACGTTGAGGTTAGTCTATTTTGTGCATTGTTGTGTGTTTTTTCTTTCTTTCTTTAACAATTACAGTTGCCCAGATCAAATAGACTGGCTTGAGCAAGCACTGTTCTCGTTGCAGAAACTTTCACCCCCAGAAAAAGCACAGCCAGCAAGGCCGCCACCCCCAGCACATGTTGCCGAGATTGGAGAAGCCGTTGCCAAATATAATTTCAATGCAGATACAAATGTGGAACTGTCACTGCGGAAGGTAATTGTTTAGGGTCTCTTTCTTGAGGTGGGCACTGGGGTGAGTCCACTTTTGGGACAAATGGCACACCGTCCATCTGCACACTTCCCAACAAATAGGGAGTACAGGGTGTCATTAGGCCTTATAGGTTATGTAAGAAGACATTAGGTAGTTAATTGTTGGCTTCATCACTAGTGGTTCTGGCTCTTTTGCCTTCCCCCTCTGCTCAACTGGCCCTGTCTCCACATCTTCTTAAGGGGTTCTATGTTACTTTAAGGGCGTTCATGTCTTAGAAATGTCAAACTATTGGTGGACAGAAACATTGAAACAGAGAAATGTTTGGCAGAGTAGAGCTCTGTTTTGAAATGAAACGGATGATTTTCCTACCTTCATCACACTGTTATATGTATCCTTTCACTCAGCATTCTTTGAGTTTATTTGCCATCACACTTTAAAGATTATGCCCCAAGCACTATCCCTACCCATGTTCTTTGTTGGAAAAAAAACCTCCTCTCTTTGAAATATCAGCTGTTACCCGTCTTCAATTCAGGAGACAAGGAAGCAGGGAGGGAGGGGGGAAAGCTGTGATGCATTCTCTCCCTCCCTCTCTCCCGGCTGCCCCACAGAGAAAGGTGTGGACCTTGGAAAACTATAACTCTCAGGACTGCATAGTATGGAGCTATGGTATTTAAAGTAACATTCCACTGCATTCATTTCACAGTGTAGATGCACCCAGAGAAGGGTATGGCCCCTGGGAAACTATTTCTCCCAGAAGGACTCCATCTCATGGAGACATGGCATAATAATAATAATAATAATAATAATAATAATAATAATAATAATAATTAAAATGGGTCCCAACTGCATTTATTCTCTAGCGCAAATACGGACTGTGGGAAACTATAACTCCCAGGACTGCATAGTATGGAGCTATGTTATTTAAAATGATCCTGACTGCTTTTATTCTCCAGTGCAGATACACCCAGAGGAGGGTGCAATCCTTGGGAAACTATAACTCCACAGAGCTATGTTATTTAAAGTAGGTCCCAACTGCATTTATTCTCCAGTACAGATGCACCCAGAGATTGGTTTGGCTCCTCCCACAATTCCCCCTTCCACAAATTTAAGAAATGTTTCATTTTAAACCTGGGAGCAACAAATGCCATCACATTACAGAACTGGCCAATCATCCGGATCATTACCACCTCCTGAAACATTTGAAAATAGTGTGCTGGCTCCCACACTTAAAATACACAAAGAATGCTGTATCCTACACTTGAACCCAATCTAATGTGATGAGAACAGTGGCTTTCCACAGTTTAAGTGTAGCACTCAATGGTGTTTAGTAAATGTGATGAAGTGGTAGCTCTCTCTCTCTCTGCTTCCTTTTCTCTCTCCTTCCTCTCACACTTTTTTTCTCTTCTCTTTTTGTGCTCACCTCTCTGTCTCTCACCCTCTCTCTTCCTACCACCTTCCTACCATCTGACCCCCAATGCACTGCTAATAAGAAGACTGTCGGGTGATCTTGGCCAAATAAGTTTGGGAATAAGTGAGACTCCTTTTCAATCCAAACACTGCAGAAAAAGCATTCCTTTCTCTCTAGTCTGGATCAAGACTAGTGCTAAAGCCATCCACGGCCACCAAAGGCCAATCCCTCCCACACATTCCTCGACTTAACTTACCAAAGCCATTTACAAAGGAGGTAATTGTGTGAATACTTCTCTGTCTGGTTCAAGCTCTAATGCCCTCCTGTCTTAGGTGAGCTTTGAGCTTGGGGCTTTCCATTTGACAATTCTCATTTTGGTCACGCTAAAGGTGTGATTCTCTGTCCAAAATCCCTTCTTTTTTTCAGCTGCTAATGAGTTTTGCCTTGCAGGGAGACAGAATAATTCTTCTTAGACGGGTTGATCAAAACTGGTACGAAGGCAAGCTACCTGGAACTAGCAGACAAGGCATCTTCCCTGTGTCCTATGTAGAAGTCATCAAAAAGAACGCAGCCAAAGGTGCTGATGAATGCCCTGTCCCGCCAATACCCCAGAGTTATTCCAGTGACAGAATACACCATTTAGGTTCAACTAAGGTAGGGAAGACTCTGTTCTTTTTTCAATGTCTACAGTGTGTTCCTATTCTGTAATTGCAGGCAGTGGGGTGAGGAGGCTATGAAAATAGCATTTATTTATTTACACAAAGGAAGCAAAGTACATTCATTTCTTTATGAAGACATAAGATTGCATCACTGTGTTATGTTATCTTATGGTGAATCCTTTTCTTTCTTATTTTAATATTTCCCTCTGTTCTTGCATTTAGTTCTTAAGGTGCTATGTGGTGCTATGTGGGAAATCCATTTCACTTGCTCCTATTGTGTGGAAGGCATTTTACTTCATCCACTTTCTTGCTGCACTGCTAGTGTCTGTACAGACAGCTTGGTTCTTTTGAAAGAAGAAAGATAAATGGGCCCATGCCATACATCATATGGGGTCTGACACCCCTTCCCAACTCATTTTATGTGCAGATACTACTATGTGAGCCACAGAGCTTTACTTAGTTTTTCCAAAGCATCATCAAATGTTGTAATATAGATAGGTTGACCTCTACTTATGTTTACTGTGAAAGAGGTCTAGGTCAGTGGTTCTCAATCTGTGGGTCACCAGATGTTTTGGCCTTCAACTCCCAAAAATCCCAGCAAGTTTGCCAGCTCTTGGGATTTCTGGGAGTTGAAGGCCAAAACATCTGGGAACCCATAGGTTGAGAACCACTGGTCTAGGTGAACTCAGTATAAGTAACTGCTTAGAATTGCAGTCTGAAACAGATTATGTCTACAGCTGAAATACACACAAACTCATAGAACTTTTCATCATACTTCATCTTAAAAAATATAATATCCAAACAGACTTGGAAACTATTACAAGCTTTCACTTTCAATGAAGAAAAAAAGAAAACAGGGGAGGATATACTGTAATTATTGCTTGAAGGGCCTAAAAAGAATTAAGGTTATCCTTATGTGCTGGTTCTTCAGCAAATGTGTTTCTAGCCAGATGGTATTAGGAAGAATAGACCAGGAAAACCTAAAGTCCATCTGGGCAGCCTCTTCAGCACCAACCACTGAGACTGGATCTACACTGCCCTATATCCCAGGATCTGATCCCATATTTTCTGTTTATCCCAAATTATCAGGGAAATGTAAAAGGTAAAGGTTTCCTCTTAACATTAAGTCTAGTGATGTCAGACTCTGGTGTTCATCCATTTCTAAGCCAAAGAGCCAGTGTTGTCCTAGGTCATATGGCATGACTACATGGAGTGCTGTTACCTTCCAATTGAAGCAGTACCTATTGATCTACTCACATTTGCATGTTTTCAAACTGCTAGGTTGGCAGGAGCTAGAGCTAACAGTGGGAACTCACCCTAACCCACAAATTCAAACTGCCAACCTTCTGACCAGCAAGTTCTACAGCTCAGCAGTTTAACCCGCTGCACCACCGTGGCCCCTTTCTGGCAATGTATGCTCATATAATCCAGTTAAAAGCTGAAAATCTGGGATCAGATCCTGGGATATAGGGCAGTATGGAGGGGACCTGAGAAAACGCTTAGCAAGAATAGCAGTAACCTACATGGAGTTTTGCTGCTCTGTATCACAACTGCAAGAATATTGCCTTGGTTGCTTCATTATACAGACATTCATATACATATCATATATAATCATGTATAAGTTAACGAATACACGCATGGATTATTTAAGTGTCATTCTGTAAAGAGAGTAAATGGCAGTGCTGCCTCAGGAAGCCAGCCATCCCAGATTGCCAACATTTTCCTGCCAATGCACTCAAAAAGACCAGAAATGGCATTATGGTGGTGAAAGTAGAAAGGTTCTATGCTTGTTTTAGGTTCTCACAGGATGGACTAAGTTGTCCTCTTTTGCTCAGAGAATATTCCTTTTTTAATAACAGTGAAGGTACGGCATTTACATTGATCTGTGGATAAAACAACCCAGTTTTTTACGTTTATTTTTTTACTAAAGTTTCTAGACTTGTACATGAGCATATCAAGTAGTCGAAGCCAAGCCTGAGTGCACTTAACTTCTATTTAGGGATTTTCCAGAGCTTGGGAAAGTGACTTTTTTGGACTTTTTAATCCCAGAAGCCCCCCACCTCAGCTTTCATGGTCATTGGCAGCAATCAATCAAACAGATTGCAGTACAGAAGTAGATTTATAATCTGTCTATAGCCCACTCCTGTTTAAGCTGTACACACATTTCTAGTCTTTATCCTTTCATCATCAAATTGCATGCTATGGTGTTTTTTGTTTTGTTTTGTTTACTTTTCCACGGTTTCAGACTTCTACTTCCTTTCTAAGCAAATGTCATACATAGAATTCAGACAGGAACACTTTAATAAACTATTTGCATATGAGATGTTACTTTTTAATAACTTACTGTTATTTGCATGACTTCCCTAGAGGCATATTTTATATCTGCATGTGTGAATTTACTTGGGAACGCTGAGGGTACTGATTTAATGAGCTCTTTACACGCAACTATTTGAAAATAAAAGAGAGGTTCTGTTTTTCCCCAAAGCCTATTAAAATCTTTTTCTTCTGCACATAATATATGCTAATCAACCGTGACTAGTGACTCTCGTGTCTTTGGAATGATGTATTTGCTCCACATTTTAGTTTGACTTTTTAAAGAGGATCACCAAAGTGCTTGTCTCCCAAATAGGTGTGAGCATCTTAAATAGCTCATTTAAGACTAAAAAACAGAATTAATGTATCACTCCTCTAATACGAGAGCTACCATCATCACTGCTCTTATTGATTCATTATCATATTAAGTATAATGATTTGTATGTTAGTTTCATGTCTATAGATCAGTGGTTCTCAACCTGTGGGTGTTTTGGCCTTCAACTCCCAGAAATCCTAACAGCTGATAAACTGGCTGGGATTTCTGGGAGTTGTAGGCCAAAAGACATGGGGACCCACAGGTTGAGAACCACTACTATAGTTGACCCATAACAGAAGAAACATTAACAAGAGCAACTTCTCATTTTGCAAACAAAACCCTTTCCTTCCTCTTCACTATTCCCAGAAGTTTGGTCAAATAGAAGTTGAGACCTTTCTGGAAGATCTAGAGAGGCACACAAACATTTGGGGGGGGGGGGGGTTTTGAAATGTGGGTAAGGAAATCATATTGATGTTGTGGGTAAGGGGTTGTACTGTATGAGCAATATAATGCCTATGCATGCAGGCACCCCAAATGTAAATCCAAATGGCCTCCCCTCCTGCTACCTTTCCTCTTCAGTTATGCATGTAGGCTGCTAGTATTGTGAGAAATCTCTATATTCAACCATGGAAGTGGGGAGCAATTGGATCTACAGCAAACATTCTGGCCTTCTGTAGCAAACTMATGTYTCAGAAGAGAAGGGTAAATGAAGAAAAAGACCTCTACAGATTCTCCTGGCATTATTGTTCCAAACACTTTAAGCTGGAACCTGTTTCTTTTTCCAGTAGTTTAAAATGTYTGTTTGCTCTCTCTCTCTCTCTCTCTCTCTCTCTCACACACACACACACACACACACACACACACACACACACTGTCACTGTGTGGAAAAGTAGAGAAACATTACCAAGATACCTTAATATTATGCCCTTGCACTGTCTTCCAGTCGCCGCCACAATCCATGGGAAAGAGGAGAAAATGATTAGTGAGGTCTTCAATAAGACCACCATAGAGATCCATTCTCGGTTTTTGGTTTGTTTGTTTTTCATGTCAGGAGCAACTTAAGAAACTGCAAGTCACTTCTGGTGTGAGAGAATTAGCCATCTGTAAGGATATTGCCTAGGGGACTCCTGGATGTTTTACCATCCTGTGGGAGGCTTCTCTCATGTCCCTACATGAGAAGCTGGAGCTGACAGACAGGAGCTCACCCCACTCCCCGGATTTGAACCACTGGCCTTTTGGTCAGTAGTCCTGCCAGTACAAAGGTTTAACCATTGTGCCACCAGGCACTCCTATCAATTCCCAGTAACTATAGAGAGTGGATAATGGCCCTAGGATTATACATGGTGACCCTTAGCCTGTTTTCATGTGGCCCTCAAAATGATTCCAAAAGACCTTTGTAACTTCAAGAGTAAGCTGGCCTTTACATAGAGAGAGATAAACAAGTTGCAGAGAGAAAGATGGAGAGAGATACTCTGCCCTTCAGCCCACTATCAGCATCCAGGTTCAACAGACTATCCTGATGTAACATGGCCCTTGTAAAAACAAAAAAGTTGCTCACATAGTTTTGGACTAGATGATTAGTCTTAGTGTAAGCCAGCTTCCTGGGTTCTTAAAGCTGATTTCAAAATGTTTTGAAATCAAAAGGATTTGGTGTTCTTTCTATATGGTTAATTTTGAGAATTAATAACTACAAAAAACCCTACCTTTCAGTCTTTACTGAAGCAGTGGATTTCTACTGATGCGATATACGTATGAATCCCAACTCTGCCACTCTTACAAAAGGACGTTTATTTTGCCAGAAGGAAACTACAATCAATAATTAATGTTGCAATATGGTCCAGCCAGTAATAATATTCAAAAATATGTGGTTTCATGTTTACAATAATTGTCTGTGATGTGCACTGAATAGCAATTGAATGTGTCAATTTGTGTAAAATGGTATTAATTTTCAGCTAAAGGATATACTATGTAGCTGCAGAAGATGTAAAAGCAATATGTAGTTGTACTGAGGATATTTCTGCATGGTTCTGATGTCAGGTGATGAAAAACTTGAACTTTTGCACAATTTGAGTTTGCACAATTTGAGTTTGCCTAGTTGGATCCACTTTTCACTCCTGCGAATGGTGCCGCAACCCAAACTGTTATCTTATTAAGACTGCACCACTCTTCTGTCAAAATAGCAATAGCTATGGTTGAGGAATGTCTGGTAATTGCATCTGTACCATTAGTCATAAGTTTACTAAAGGAAAGCACATAACTCTTGTGGATCAGATTCATTTCAAGAACTTAGTGATCCAGATCTGTCTCGATGTTTGACATTTAAGCCTTGGGTAAGAACTTGATACCATTTCATTTTTCAGCTTTCTGTCCTTCTGATTCATGTGCTAATGCTTTGAGGCATTTATGCTGGATGATAGAATATCCTAATGCTAAGAGATGACATAGAACTGTTTTGAAATGCACGAGCTCTCTCTCTCAAGCATGAGGCCAAAATCTTTCTTCAATTTGTTTTAATCCCTGTGCTTTCCCTTATTTCTCAAGTTGGATTCCAAAGCTTCATCCCCTCCTCTCAGATACCGGCCCTCTTCTTGTCCAGATTCTAATAAAGAGAATCTCCAGGCTATCACCAATGAATGGTTGTCACTGACTCTTGGCTTTTCATCTCCAAGCACACCTTCCCCTTCTCCTCCACCTTTTCCTAAAAGCCTCCTTTCTGATTTAGAGGAACTCAACTCTCTAGCTTTAAAAAGCTCACAGAGCGCACCAGGGCTCTCCAGTAATGTTGCTTCTCCAGCAAAGCATGGCCATTTTGTTCCGATCTCCTCACCAAAGGCTCCCAACTCCTTCCCTGAATCGTCAGCTTCATCTCAATCATTTTCCTCATCTGCCTGTAAATCACCTCCTCCAGCAACCCGGTTTCATGACAAGGCACATAAACCTGAATGTAGCAATTTCAGAGAGATGAGAGGAACCCCCTCTGTCAAGGAAAGGAAAAGCTTCTCACACATTTCTCGAAAGACACCAGAAATAGCAGATCCTGCTCTTCTTCTCCCTGACGAAGACCAGTTGGTCAAAAGCCTGACAGAGACTGATGAACAGGAAGAGATCTGCGAAGAGCTGCTGTCAATAATCCAAGGGGGGCAGTCAAAATATAAAGATTCAGGTTTCTACAGGCGTGCCCCTGATGTAACAGAACCATTGGCAAGGCTCCACATAGAGGAAGAGCCAGACGCTGACCATTTAGAATCACCAATAGGAAGTCAGAGAGAGCCCATGGTATCTTGCGAAGGGGACAATTCACCACATACTAAAAAAGAGGTATTTAAACTTCTTAAGACGAATTCCTACATCAGTGTCATTAATTCAAGTCTAATCTTTCCATTTTGTGTGTTTTTGCATGTGCATAGTACAAATTTCACGAGGAGTACAAACACACACACCAGACCTGTCTTCCTCCCATTCCTTTCTTTCAGAGATGAGAAGAAATATACTCTAATGAAATATATTATTTCTTCAGTCTAGAGATAGTTGTCATTACTGGTGGTCCTTTTCCATGGTGAGACATTCCTAGCCCTCGAATAAAACTAGACCAAATTAGAAGATACATTGAATGCATGGCTATGTTGGCATATTTGATACATATTTTATAAAGTAGTCATTTGGATTGACACCATGGCATTATGGAAGATGGGTAAGCCCTTCACACATGCAATCTGCTCAATCAGAATTTTTCCCAACCATCCACTGTTGCCATTTGACCTCAAAGGAAGCAGCTGTTTGTGGACAGCAGTTTCCCTCTGTTAAGTTTCCCTCTGAATACAGTTATACCCTGATTCAGATATGATTTGGCCCTGTCACTGTTAATTGAGAGAAAGCACCACAAATGTGATCATGCATGAAAAAAACAGTTCTTTCAGTATTGTAGCTTTAAAAAGAAGGAGCCATTGTAGGGTCACTAGAAGCTCTCCACTCCATTCACAGACACGTTAACTGGTGTGCAGAGGGGTAAATTTCAAGAGGGAACAGAATGGGTAGATGATGTCCATGGTGATCCTGATTCTATCTGAAGACCCATACACAATAAACAAAAAGTCAGGGGAGTCTACCATATATAATTAATATAACATTGAGTTTCAGTCTCAGAAATGGGGCATTAATGAAAAAACAGAAATGGGGCAATGGCAAATACTGGTTCCCTCAACAGTGGTGCAGGAAGTCTGTCCCAGATTCCAGTCCCTTCTACAATGAGGACATGCTGATAAACCTGTCTCAGGGATATGGTTCAGCACCTTGGATAGCTTCTTTAAGGCTCTGGCTAAATTTCAGACAAGTCCTAGTAAAACATTTGCCAACCAGAAAAGAATGGGGAGAATTCTTTCAGGCTATGAGAAGTAGCAATCATCCATATCTAATGATTTCTCTACCTGTAGATGTGGTATATAACAGCCTAGCTATGGAGCACATGTTCCATAACTGAAACCCACACTAATAAGTGACATCATATTTATTAAAGAGTGAGCCTCCCAATGTCTAGTTCATCCTGGTAGCCATGTACTACACTTTCTCCCATGGCTCATCTCCCTCCCTTCCACAAATACACAAGTTTAAATGCCTAGGACTAACAGGAAAAACAAGATGCTCTCATTCAATTTGGAGATCCATGTCAAAATATGCTTCAGGTTTTGATCTAGGAATTGTGCCTCTAAGAATGACATGCACTGACTGTTCTGTAAGGCCCTGACTATCCTTGAAGTCAGTCTGAATTTTTCTTTAAGTGCTGTTCACTTGCCAGCTTTCCCCAGTCATGTATGGGGTTGGCAGTGCACCATTTCCTCTCTTTGTTTTCTCCCAGTGCCTCTCTATAAATATATACTTAAAGCTGAGATAATTTGAAAACAAGAGGAAACAGTCTTGCCTAACATAGAAATTGGTCCTTGTGTCTCTAATTATCCTAATTCAGAAGTTTTCAACCTTTGACTCTCCAGATGACTTGGACTTCAGTTTCCAGAATCCCTATCAACCATGTTGGCTGAGGCTTCTCAGAGCTGAGATCCAAAACACTCGGAGAGGCTACTGTCATGCTCTGAATTAAGAGTGTTCCTTAGACATGCCATCTGAATGTACCCTGTACTTTTTTCTGTATTAGTTTTTTAGTAGTAAGAAGGAAAAAGGTAGAAGAAGCATGGCAAAATACAGATTATGAGACATATATAGTGAGAAGCCCCCATTAAGTTCAGTCAGTGTGGTTGGGCAATTATGGCATGACACCTCTAAGCACAATAGGAACAGCAATTAGTGGTTGAGTTGACAAAGTCTTGATTTCCTTTCACTGATGGTGGTTCTGTATTCCTCTCCTTTTACAATTGCTCTCCCACACAATTGTTGTTGTCTCTCTTTAAATGTTTTAAGGCAGCTTCACCTCCCTATGAGATGCAAGCGCCTTCCACTTCTCCTTCCTGCCTTGCTTCTAGTCCTCCATTTCACTCAGACAAAGCATCTTCCTCTGAATGTGTGTCTACATCCTCCAAGCCTGCTGTTACTCACTCACCCCCTCTCCTTTCCAAACTGTCATACAGACAGGAGAAAAAAACACCAAAGTCAAAGGTAACAGTACCTTTATGCAATACTGCATGTCTTTATAGATGCTTGACAATAAAAGAAGACTGGAAGCCTAACTCTTTAAAAAAAAATCATACTGAGTGACTAACGTTTAGAAATGTCCGCATGCAATCAAATTCAAACAGAGAAAGTTGTTTAAGTGCACTTTAATTGATTAATAACCCATTCTTCAGGATAACAAGATATTTGAATAAGTAATTTCTTAAATTATTAGATAATTACTCAGTAACTGAAAATAGTTAATCAGAATGAAGAAACTAATTGTTCAGAATTAAGATGTTGTTTCAACATAACAACAAAAATCTGCATAGAACACTTATTTGTTTGTTCTTTATTTACAGTATTCATATTCTGCCCTTCTCACCCTGAAGGGGACTCAGGGCAGATACAGAAAACATACAAGGCAAACATTCAATGCTGTTATATACTGACAAGACAGACAACAGTACAGATAGACGTATATAGGCTTTTCCCATCTTTTGGCGTCTTGGAGATTGTGCTCAATTCCGGCCATGAGGGGGTGCTCTCGCTCTATCCTCCATGTCGAAGAGCCCTGTTCACAAATTTCCTCCTTTAGATCACTGCCATTTCTGGCATTTCCTTATGGTGCCATTAAAATACATCCCCACTAAGCGGTACCTATCTATCTACTCACAGCTGTTTTGTTCTGCTAGGTGGGCAGTGAGCTGAGCTGAAGGCTGGGCACTTACCCCCAACCCGGGCTTCAAACTGCCAACCTTTTGATTGGCAAGATTTATTGCAGCTGGTGGTTAACCAGCTGTTCTAAAGCCTGGTCCCTTTTGGCACTTTTTTGGCACACAGAATCAATTATTATTCATATTTCTCAAAGCTGTCCTTGCCCATATCTATTCAATAACCATTTGCTACATACATTTTGTTCATAAGGACCTCGTATGATGCTTCTCAAATACACTAAGAAAATATCATTGACTTTTATGCAGTTGGCTTTTGTAAGATATAACGAGGGGAAAAGTCCTATTCCGGTGGTATGGATCATTCAGTGGTATGCTACTGGTCATCTATACAAAAGCCTGCATTTCTTAGTGTTACAGTAAACATCTTCATTCTTGTTTTGGGAAGCCACATTACTCGAGCTTACGGGATTCATGGCAGATGCAAGAAGTTTAAAAAGTTATGCCAGAAATAACATGGCAGCATGCAATCATCAGAGGAATGATCAGTGGCTCTTCTTGGACATCTATAATCTGAGAAACTCCAGTAAGAATTGACAAGTAGATGAGGGTACCAGAGCTACTCAGCGGCCTTGCCCTTTATGAAACCTCTTCTTAATAGTGCATTTGTAGCATAGGAAAAGGCCCAGGAGGACAAGGATCGATCTCTTGCCAGATTGATGTGTCTTGGGAAGCACCTAGTTAGACTCAACCTCCTGTTTGCTTCTGAACCTGCATCAAGGGGCTGCTGCTTAACTTTGCACAGAGTTAAACAAGAGAGAAAGACAAATAATGAAATGAATGCTTTCTCCTTTATTAGCCTGGCATTATATTTCCCTGGGAGAAAAGCATCATATAAACTCAATGAATTAATGCATTAAACCATAGGCATCACAACTACATTTTTCACCTGAAACACATGCTAACAGCCCCACCCCCCAAAAATCATGTTCAGAGGTTTTCTACAAAAGTTGAACTGCAACAGCAAGTCAACAATTGTAATACTGTTTGAAGTTGAGAGATCCCAGTTAGCAAATGAAGAAATGGGAATGTTGTTTTTGCTTTTCAGTAAATTACACTGCTCTGATCAAGGCTTCCACACTAGCACTGCACACACTCAAACATGCAGCCTCGATTTAGGAATTCCTGCCAGAGAAAACAGCATTTATTTATTCATTTATGCTTCTGGGAAGTGGGACATTGGCACATAATGTATCCAATACTGATGCAGTGCCCCTAACAGCAAATAATGTACGATCAAAAGCTACAGAAGTAATGTGAAAGCTGCCAATCACTATCTCTTTCAGTACTCCTTAAGATATATGGAACCAATCTTGTATTTGTTTTACAAAACTCACTCAACCTTCCCAATGAAATTGGGAATCTAAATTGACATATTGATTCCATTTTTCACCGATCTGACTTACTCAAGTAATACACACACTTAGGATCTTTAAAATCAGCTTTTAGCAGTGAACTCTTTTCATTTTCTCCTGATTGTTTTGTTGTCAGTTACTTGTATTTTCTTTCTGGTAATAACGTTTTGGTTGTGTGCTTCACTTTGGAGGCCATCCCTCTCATATTAATAACATAGCTGCATTTTGACAATTTACAGTCGTAGAACCTTGTGTCCCAGATGAGCTGTAAGTAAATAATTCTTCATAGGCATCGTAGGATTTTAAGTGCTTTGGATTGAGGTGGGAAAGTATAGATGATAACAATAGCTCTTCGGGTGAACTGGATTAACAGATCTGCATGTATTTTGGAAATTAAAAGGTGGTTTGTGTCGCTTGCGAGAATGAACCATTGTGGGCTTTTAGAGGAATTGACCCAGTGTTTATGGTTTTTCTAGGCTGATTTAAAAAGAGAGATATTTGTCATCGGCAAACCTCCTCGTAGCCCTGTTACGACAAGGAGATCTTGCGGCTCACCTGTCAGAGGGCACAGCTATTCACATAGGGTATGGTACTATAAGGCCCTATATATATATTGCCTGAGCTCCCCTAGGATAAGGAACTTGGCATCTATTCCCAAAGTCTTGAATGCACATGTTCGAATAATTGTTCTAACACGCTTTTATTTCTGTTGTACTGCTGTTTAGAATGGAAACATTTGGATTCATAACTGAAAAGAAACCACAATAGGTTGTGCCTGATTTGCAAAGGGGAATAAAACAACCTAACAGAAAAACAGATCCTCTTAAGCACCTGAGTCTACCTTAATTTTCTTCCCTCCTCTTGTTTCAGGCTGTATCGCACTTATGAGGCTATTTGTCATGGCCAAATAAGAAGGTCCCATTTGCACATTCTGTGGATTTCATAACGTCAGTTCTGCTGTTTCTTGTTTTCAAATGCATGGTCCTTTTTTTTTTCCTCCTCCAAAATATTTTGCTTCTATGGCAACATGTGCTTGCACTCACTTGACACCACGCTTCCTCATAGCACTGCTTCGCTCAGAGCTGTCATTGGCATCGGCTTTTCCCTGCCTATCTGCCTTGAACTGCAGCCTCTTGAAAGGGCCACTTCTTCCTCTTGAAACTATCATCTGTACTGTTTTTCCAAGGAAATGTGTGTGTTTAATGCATTTTATGTCCAAACCAAATGTTGTACATATCTGTATCTTAATGTCTCTACATATTACAAGCTTTGTTTGTCAGGACTGCAAGGGAAAGGGGTCGGGTTGAAGAGAGAAGTTTGTTTGGGTGAGAAAATGGCATTGTTCCAGAAGTGTTGCAATGATAGATAGCTACATGGATGAATTAGTATGTTCTTATTTATGAGGCTGGAGGTATTTGTAACAAGGAACCTTTTTACCAATTCCATCTGGTCAGAAAGCTCTGATTTACAGTTAATTATGACATTCATTAACAACGGAGGCTGCCCTATATTCCAGGATCTGATTCCAGATTATTTATTTATTTCCAGCATTTGTACCCCATCCTTCTAAACCCCCGAAGGGGGACTCAGGGCAGCTTACATCAGCAGCATTTTGATGCCAACACATACAGAATACATACACAATATATCACAACATTACACATTGAATAAAATCATTAAGTTAAAAAATCATTTAAAAACACTATTAGCAACCATGTAGCCATATCCAATTCAATTCAGCATCCAAAGACTTTGTCAGAGCCTGTCCATTGTCAGTTCATGTAAAAATTGCAATCGCTATCAAGCCTTCTCCCCAAATGCCTGGTTCCAGAACCATGATATAAGTTTCATCCTGAAGGAAAGGAGGGATACAGCTGACCTAATTTCACTGGGGTTTTCCACTGAGAAGGCCCTGTCTCTGATCCCTGCCAAACGCTTATGCTAGATTATCTGGCAGTGTAGACTCATATAATCCAGTTCAAAGCAGATAATCTGGGATCATATATTGGGATATAAGGCAGTGTAGATCCAGCCTCAATGACCAAGTACTGTATTAGACTCTAGAGAGGGCTGTCTAATAATAATAATAATAATAATAATAATAATAATAATAATGTAATAATTTTTCTTCTTACTCGCCTCTCCTCGTGGCTCAAGGCATGATACTGGAGCCTGCAACTGATGAAAAGTATTGTAAATCCACCATGTATTTGGTTGCTGTGCTGCTTCCCTGTAGCATCCAGGGAGAACAAATTAAATAATCACTGTTAATCTAAAAAATATGAAATGAGTATAATGTAATACATATATATTTTTAATATGGAATCATAACTTCAACTTTACCTGTTAAAACATCCAATACCATTTCTGATGGCAAGGAGATAGTGAGAAATGGACATTATTGTACTTTGCCGGAAAATGTTGTACACTTTGAATAACAAGCAAAACTATGAAAAAATTATTTGTAAAATACGTTCCTTGTAATTAATTGCTTTTTTTACAATAAGGAATTGCATTGCTATTCTAAGTTAATAAAAGACATTTAATTCCTTTTTTAATTATTGTTAACCCTTCATTGCTTATATAGTTAAGGATTTTCAACCTCACTAAAATGGTAAAGGAGATTCAAGTCCCAGACTCATGTTCTGCCTTCTGCCACTGCAGTCAAGTGTTTTTATATCAACTAAAATACTTTTGAAAAGCAACTCTGTATAGTATTGCTTTTCAAAATAACTACAAAAGAAACTATTTTGGAGTGGGCCTGAAATCACAACAATAACTATTTGCTTTTTTAAAAAATGCATTCCCAGGCTGCGGTAATAAGTAATAGTTGTGCAACTTCAGCATCCATTCAGTAATAGAGGAACACCATTCTCCTTAACATATACTAAAAGAAATACATACATTCTGAAGAAAGATTACAATTTTTAATCTTTTAGTAATCTTTTGCTTCTTTTTTACATACAGTGAACTATGTCTTCCATTACACATTTCCTTTCATTGAAATTTTAAGATACCAATTCACATTTTCTTTGGTGTATGCAGTCTGGTGGCATTCATACACTGAACTTAAGCCTTGATCAAATGTCCCCAACTCTATGTTTAAAATCACTCAAATGTAATGTCTGCTTATGCATTGGCCTTGTTATGTGTATGTAAGAAATGTTTAAATGTATCTGTTGACATCCTAAAATATGCACATAACAGCAGATGATTTGCAAACATGTATCCTATATACCAGTGGTTCTCAACCTGTGGTCCCCCAATAACTAAAATATGGTCCACAGCCTCACCATTACTATACCGTTGCCTCAAAACCATGCAGCAATGAGAGCGATTGGTTTTGCGAAATCCTCTTATAGTGCTAAGGCAATGGGGATGTCAGGAGGGGAGAAGCTGACCACCTATGAAATATTACTACTGCTGCATCAGCTCTAGATTATTAAATATGGTTTTCTGTGGGTGAGCAGATGAAAACTACTGGATGGCATATGTTCTGTATCAAAAACAAGAGCTGATGTGGTCTATCCAATGCAATTTTCTGAATCAGCACCCCAAATAACCAAACCAAATCTAAAGTTGACCAAAAATTGATTTGTAACCCTAATGTTGGAGAGTGGTCCCTGGTCACAGTGGTCCTTGGTGAAAAATAGGTTGGGAACCACTTCTATATGCACATAAGATACATGTTCCTAAGGACTGGCTATGTACCTAATGGAAAATGTCATGGGTGTGTTGATTTATAGTTAGTGTATACCCACTGAGATCTGTGGGACCGTTGCAGCTATGGCACTGATTTCAGTGTATCTGCTTTCAGTATAACAAAAATCATGATCTAATCCAAGATCTGGTGTGACAGTGTTCCTGTTAAGCAGGTTTTGCAGAAAACCTGAAAACTGTTGGTTTTTTAAAAAATTATTATTTCTTATGGTCAAGTGCTGACAGGAAACCATCTAGAATGACTATTTCATTTTCCTTCCCTGAAAAGTTTTGACGTTACACTGCTCTTTCAAACTGTTAGTATGAATATGATTTCGTAACATTAGTATATGGAGCGATTAGTGTGCTTTATGTTCTGTCTCTCACACTACATTTTTGGGTTTATGTGTCTAAAGTACTAAAATATTATTGCATAGGATTACGATGGGTGATTAAGATGTTCAGTGGCTAGTGATATATCTTTCTACAGCTTAGCAAATCTGGGCACAATTTAGCCAAAATGGCATCATATTAAGTTCCATTTGATTCAGTTTAAGTCAAGACTGCGTAAAATATTGTATTCCCAATTCCTTTTTTTTTCTACATCTTAATAGGTTTTCCTTTAACTTCACCCATATCCTTGATTTTTCTCCCTGCTTCCCTCCCTAGTGTCTGTCCCCTTTCCATTGATTATGTCACATCTGTCTTCATACAACATTTCCTAAATTGATTTTCATTCGTTTCCATTCAGCCACTTTATAATTCAAATACTAAAGTTCTTCAGTCATATTGTACTTGTAAAGCATTGGGGTTATTTTTATTTAGTGCCAACATTCTTCTTTCCCTCCATGACATCTCTGTTGAATCTGTCTCCTGGAAACAAGAGATGTCATCTTTACTGGCTCTGGTACGGTAGAAACTCACAGGCATGTAACCAGTCCATTTCATTGCAAAATGTACTAAGTTAAAAATAAAGCCACCTGGGTAGGTGGGAATAAAAAGCCTTCGGCAATAACTAGAGTTTACTGAAAATATTTTAAAATAAGAAAAAGACTGTTTTGTCAGAACCTTTCATGGCCGGAATCACTGGGTTGCTGTGAGTTTTCTGAGCTATATGGCTATGTTCCAGAAGTATTCTCTCCATATTCCAGAATGCTTCTGTAATATGGCCATACAGCCTGGAAAACTCACAGCAACTTTAAAAAAAAAACACCATTATTTGGATGTCAGAAATAACATAGGAATTCCAAGCATTTCTTCACCAGGAACAATATTTATTTCCATCTTTCTTAAATCAGTGGAACATGAAATTATGAATATTGTATCATGTCCCATATTATTAAAGTAAGTGTAATAGACTCAAATAATCATTGTTTGGATCATGCAAAGGCCATGAGATGTTTACTCTCTTCTTTGTGACTATCACAAGGACAGCCAGAGATGAATTCTTAAAACTTTGCTTTCCTAAGTGTGAGTTTAGATGAATACTGACAGTAATTTGCATGATAATTAGGGGTGAAATCCATTCTGTTTTCATTTCAAATTTTTGGTCTCTCCCCCCCCCCCCCCCGGTTCTTTTTTTTGGGGGGGAAGATTCCAGGAGATTAAGTTTGGATTCATAATTTGGGATCCGGAGTTCTGTTTTTAGGAAGAATTTTCCCAAAAACAGGACATGGGGTGGGGTGGCCAAATTTGAAATCAAAACACAACAGATTTCTTCCGTTTTGAACACCCCTGATTATGAATATTTCTATACTCACTATAGAATTCATGTACCATGTAATAAGACAGACATCTCTAGAATCCAATGATATAATGAATTAAGACATGCAAAGGTGACCACCACTGCCTCTGCTATCCCATGTAATCTATCAATTTCCAAAAAAGTTATTAATATTTCCATTTCTTCAGGGTTGGTCCCCACAGGTGATCATTGTTCCATGTTGAACAATAAATTATACACACAGAATTTACAAGCAGACACATGATAGGCATACATATGTATGCAAACTTTGTGCAGTTACCTCTTTTTGGAGAGTTATGTGGCTCTTATGTGTACTTGAATTCATATCACACAAAGTCCTGCTTGTCAATTGTAAACCATTTATAAATTCATAATCAAAATCAATTTTAACCATGGAGAGACTTCAAAAGAGCTGTATAAATATACCCAAGGGCCGCTCACTGAAGTCTGGATCTTTTGAGTGAAAAGAAAGCAATGATTTATAAACTGTCGATTCAAAGATACATTTTTCTAAACCTCTTCCAGCTTTATTTTTTATTTATTTTATCATTCATCAAAGCCAGGGTTTTTTTTTTTTTACAGATTTCTTGGAAGTGTTAAGCCTGCTTTTCAAAACTTGGATTAGCTCTGACCTTGGGGATGGAGAAGGACATTTCTGTTCATCTTTTCAATATACTTGCCATTTTTTCTCCTTATAAGGCTCGGTGTTGATAAATTATCCGCATTCTGTTTAAGAATTTGTTTTGCTCCTTTTGCATTCCTTGGGGGGGGGGGTATTTAAGCCAACAAACCAACAAACAAAAAAATTCCACAGTCCTCTCAAGTGAACCATATCAAACTCAGCATGTATTCAGTATTTGTCAGGGAGAGAACTTTTGCAAGAATGTTGTCTTGAGCACTCCGTGAGGAACGGCTGTATGTCCCATCAGTGTTGTCGACTGTTTTAAATTCTTCTTCTCTGAAGCTTGTTTTTTCTTCATGTTACAACTATACACTCATCCATTTATTCATTTAGTGAAATTGTGATATATGTGAGACTAAGAATATTAGTAGGAGGAAGAGGCCAAAACTTATCTACTTTTTTTTGGCATGGCGGGATTTAAGCTGAAAAGAGTTAACTTAACACCAGCTTCCATGTTGCATAGGATTTTCAAGGAACTGTAAAAGTTTACACTTTTATGCCTTAACTGGATTGTTTTTGGATTATGTGCAATGAAGACAACTACTGTGTCAGCCCTGTATTACATACAACCCTCTGAGATGTGTGTAGTTTTGTATTGTGCTCCATCGGCAGCTTAATTCTCAACATTCTTCTTAATGCAGATCAGAACTACAAGGGGAGGGGGATGATTATGAAGTACTTGGTGAGCTGTGTGTGGCCTTACAGCACCGTATTATACAGACCCATGTGCTAAGCTTAAACCTAAATCTCTAACAGTTAATACTCTTATTACATTTCAACTCATTTCATTTCAGCCACAGCGCCCTGTGTTTGCTCATGAAAATATACACAGTGGGGGGGAACCGTAAGTATTTGAATCTACTCAAGTTCTTATGTAAATAATAGTATCAAGTTTCTGATTTGGCACAGGAGGAACATTAGCCATCTGGGAAACTATCTGCCAAAGTGGCTTATGCTTTCCTCTATTATTATGCTCTATTGCACTGTATGGGAGGTAGCATCATGGAGAGGTTGAACCTGGGCTATTTCTCCTTCACTTTAGACTCTTCCTTATTACCATTGACTCACACATAGATTCATGACTCATAACACCATCCATGGAAAGTGCTTCCAACTATATATGTAGAAGAGGAGTGAGGAAAGTGTGTACCACTGGCTGTGGAAGAGTAACAGGAGAGTTGCAGTCATGAAAGTCCAGTATCAGATATGTTAGTACACTATTGGATTTTGGCTACTGGAGTTGTGCAAGAACAGTTGGCACTCCATATCCACAATGCACCCCTGGATTGAACCAATCACAGCTCAGAAATAATCTTTGAGTTGCTCACCATTTTATATATAATCTCTTCCATGGTTATCCTTAATGGGTCTTCACTATCCATGGATTTTTATATCCGTTGGGGTCCTAGAGCAAACCCATGGGTTCCCAACCCTTGGTCCTCCAGATGTTTTGGACTTCAACTCTCAGAGATCCCAGCCAGTTTAGCAGCTGTTAGGATTTGTGGGAGCTGAAGTCCAAATCACCTGAAGGACCGAAGGTTAGGAACCACTGGCCAAACGCCAGCTGTATATACATGATCTCATTGCCTCCTTTACTCAGTAGCAGTAAACATTTCTTGGCTGAGTATTGTGACTCTTTTAAAACTATGTTTCATTGCCACTGAGAATAACTTTGCCATGTTAGCAGAAATTCAAGCATATAGAACGAAAAAATGTGCAAATTAAGCCGTTGTAAATATTTCTTAGCATTGGCAGTTAAATCCCAAATTGCAGATCACATTCACTTTTCATAATTAGCACGATTTTCATGCTAGAAATGATATTTTGTATTCTAATTAGGATGGGGAATGAATTGCCCTTTGGGATTCATGCACGTCTACACAGTATGAATAATCTAGTTCATGTGGTGGCCACATTAGTTAAAAGAAGGAAAAAGACAGGAGCTTACTTTGCAAAAGGTAATGACTTGGATGAAAACTTTACAAGCTGATTGTAGGTCATAATGCAACTTGCAGTTCAGGAGGTTATAATTATTTCAAATCCTCAAGAAAAGTGACCAGTTTAAATCCAGTCTTAATCATCCCCATTCATTATATATTAACAAACATGAATACAAATAGGATAAAAGAGGGAATTATTGTCCCTAGGAAGTTTCTGGGGGGAAAATCTGTGCAGAATGAGTGATTAATTTAGATACATTAATAGTTTGCAACTAAACAGAGCTGATACGTTACCATGACATGAACCAGAATCTGTAATTACACAGCCCTTGTGCTTTTGGTGGAAAATACTTAGGGGGGAAACTTTGAAACTAAAGTATGGATTTCACTCAAAATCCCTCTTTTCATGGTATTAACATATTCTTAGAAATGCCTGAATAAAATAAATATGAAACAAATACCAAAATATATTTCTGACATGCAAAATATTGCTTTAAATATTCATAATTTGAGTAATATGTACAGTACATGGCCTACTGTATGCAATTCACTCTTAATTTCAGATTGAGGGACCAAGCCACCTAGGACTCTTCCACACAGCCATATAACCCAGAATATCAATGCAGAAAATCCCACAATATCTGCTTTGAACTTAGTTATCTGAGTACATACTACCCATATATTCCAGTTCCAAGCAGAAAATGTGGGATTTTATTCAACTGTGTGGAAGGGACCCAAGTTAGTTAATGGCAGAGGCAAAGTCTCAATGAGGAATTTCTGAACTTCATCTGAGCCTCTTGGCCAATATGTAAGAGCAGCTCAAATGTGCTCATTTCTATATTTAGTGTATTTCCTCCATCTTTCTTTCATTGTGGAGATCAAAGATGAGTTCATAAAGTCCATAAAGTTCCCAGCCAGGCATTGATCAGATCCAAACCTGCTTATGTTGAGCAAGTTATGCCATCTTCACACAATGAATGCCTGGTTATATTTGACCTACATTAGACACCTATTCTTTCCACGGTTACTTGAAAGTAACTCCCACTGAACAAAATATGGTCCACTCCTGAGCAAAGATTGTACCATATTACACTGTGTCCAACCTAAGTCCAGGTTACTGGGTTTTTTGGTAGCTATTTCAGTATTTTACTAGTTGAAAGAAAAGCTATCTTTTCATGCCGGTGGAAGGAATCCTGTCCTTGGGAAGCTTGTAAAAGAAATCTATGCAGAATTAGTGACAACAAGCATGAAAAAGAAGTTTAATGGTTTTATTCCTGCTCCCGTCTTCCCATCAACCATGATATTAACTGCTGCCTTTGCTTAAAAACCAAATCTGAATCTGTAGCAACCTTTTCAACATTGCACTAAGACTAAAGTCTAAACCATAAGCCTTTTATCTCGTTTGATGTCAACCAAAAATTTTTTATCCCATATGAAATAAATTGACTTAAATCTTTTTTTATTGTACACCTGAACTAGATTTTGATTCAGAGCCTAGAGATATTAAACCTGAAGAATATGTTTTGATTTCTCTGTGACTCTCTTGGAACAATTGACAGCACTAAACAAAATCTGCTATCCAGTTTGCCGTAGGTGTCAGAAATAGCGGGTGCATTTTCTGAACAAATCATCCATGCAAGACAAAATTACCTAGCACTGCACTTAACGTAGAATCTGTGTTTTTGTACAGTTCTTCACACTGAGCCCACGCCAGTGTTTGCATTAGTAAATGAATTTAAACTTGTTAGGCATCTGTCAGTGCATGTGTAGCATTTTTCTGAAATGCAAATGTGAATGCTAAGTAGGTCACCAATTGACACATTTTTCACAAAACGCCTCTGTGCAAACGTGTATTCGGTAAGATCAATCACAACTCCTTGGGCATATTTACAAATGCACTTGGCACCTTATATTTTCACATCCACACAGAAGTTTTATGGTTACTTCACATAATGCAGCAAAAGACAAGATCCAGCCAATATTGACCCACTAGAACAGTGGTTCTCAACCTGTGGGTCCCCAGATGTTTTGGCCTTCAACTCCCAGCAATCCTAACAGCTAGTAAACTGACTGGGATTTCTGGGAGTTGTGGGCCAAAAACACCTGGGGACCCACAGGTTGAGAACACTGCACTGGACAGTGCTTCGACAGCTGATGGTATGATTTTTAGACATAATAGTTATAATTAAAACCTGAATTTTATTTTCTCTGTATCTTAAGTCTAGATATGAACTCTAGAATTGCAATGATTCTGCACAATACACATGTTAACAGAACTGTAATGTACTGCACAATTTTGTTTTCTAGCGAATCAAATTAAATACCTCAGAATAATTCCCAGCCCAGAGTATTTGTATTTATTTATATCCCGCTTTTCTCTACCCCAAGGCAGCTTACATGTGGCACCTCCAACAGTGCTTTACACATACAATGTTAAGTAAAATAAATGGGATTAAAATGAATATATATTAAACATAATTAAAATACATTCCAATGTTAACCACGCCATCCAGGGTCAGAGTCTAGGTCCATTCCGTAGTCCATATTCTGCCTAACTAGATTGTAGGTTGCTTGAGAAAGAGGTTTTTGTCTCTATGGTTTTGTTTTAAACAAATTTTATTAGTAGCTTTTCTTGGGTTTTTTGTTTGTCAACAAAGGACTAATGAATAAGCTTCTCTAGCTTAGTGAACATTTAAGGTGCTCAGTTTTTTCGTTTAAATGCGTCCATTTGTCCTGTTTAAGGTTTCAGGTTCTGTATAACTATACTCCTAGGAACGAAGATGAGTTGGAGCTCAGAGAGGGAGATGTCATTGATGTGATGGAAAAGTGTGATGATGGATGGTTTGTGGGTATGTTTCTTTCAAATTTAGTTATGCTTTAGGCTATGTGTAATACCTCTGTGGCTGCATTGCGAAATGATTTGCTTTTTTAAAACTATATAGAAAACTAATGTGACTGGTGGAATGATGCTAACCGTCTTCTCAAAACAGATAGCTATGCTGTCATGCCTTTCAGACAGAATGTATATTTGTGAGTCTCATCACACTCAGTACATATCACCTTCTGCTACAAATCGGAACTCCCACTTATGTCCTGCTCCAACTTCAAGAGTAGTTGTACTGCTTCATGAATAGTAGGAGCCCCAAATATAACCTCACATGTTCATGAACATTTTCCTCTTGAATATAAGTTTGCAAACATAAGTTTTAAAGACTGTCACTCCCAGAATCCCCCAGCCATGATAGCCAGTAGCAACGCTGGTTGAGGATTTTGGGAGCTGTTGGCCAAAGGTTTTTTTTAAGAATGTCAAGCTACAATTCTAGCACCCTGTTCGGTAATATTGGAGATTCAGGGCCTTGAGCATAAGAGACTCACTGGCAGGATATGTACTTTGGGTGAGTGAGATCCGGACATGTTAAAGCAGTGTTTCTCAACCTGTGGATCCCCAGATGTTTTGGCCTTCAATTCTCAGAAATCCTAAGAGCTGGTAAACTGGCTGGGATTTCTATGAGTTGTAGGCCAAAACATCTGGGGACCTACAGGTTGAGAACCACTGTGTTAAAGGCGCCTTCCTGATTATTTGACCATGAAGTACATTCCTCTAAATACAACAGTGTGCTCAGCCCCATTTTGCCCAACCCATTGGTTTGGACCTTCGTAAGCACCTAATATTGCCACCTGCTAAGTACTTCTGGTCATTGTGAGCATCCCCATTAAATTTGTTAGAGAAGCATTTCACGTACCTTTATGACACTGCCCATTCCATTTCTGTGAATGAAGATCTTCGTCCATCTTTAGACGACTGATGTGTGAAATGAAATGCACTGCCTAGCAGTTGCTGAGTAGAAGCCTTTGTAGTAGTGAAAACCTTGAAAAACATGCTACTAACAGATGCTGATTAAGCATCACTTATCTGGAAACCCATTTACTCCAAAATTCTCCTTCTGGGTGGCTGAGATAGTAACACTTTGCTCTATTGATAATTTTGTGCCTAAAACTTTGTATCATGCATGAAAGTGTTAAAAATATGATGTATGATATTACCTTCAGAGTATGTGTATACTGAGTGTATGAAACATAAATGACTTTCCTGTTTAGGCTTGAGTTCAATCTCCCAAATATCTCATTATATATTGATATGCAAATATTGGTATTCCATTTTTTAAAAAAAAATACTACATCTAAAAAATGCTGGTCCCAAGCATTTCAGATAACAGATACTCAGTCTATATTATATAATCTGTTTCAAAGAAAATGAATCAGATCCCAACCACCACACACACACAATAGTATTTGAGTTGCAGTTATACCAGGTATGGGCAAACTCAGGCCTGGGGGCCGCATGTAGCCCCTTGGGCTCTTTTCTCAGGCCTTCCTCTCTCACACTATCCTCTCCTTCCCTCCCACCTTTCCTTCCTTGCCTCCCTTTTTATACCTCCCTCCTCCTCCTCCTCCTCCTTCCTTCCTTCCTTTCCTTCCATCCTTTCATCCTTCCTTCCCTCTTTCCCTTCTCCTTCCCCCTCTCTTTCTCCTTCTTCCCCTTTTGTCTTTCCTTCTCTCTTTCCTCCCTCTCTCCCTTCCCTCCCTCCATTCCCTTCCTTCCTTCCTTCCTTCCTTCCTTCCTTCCTTCCTTCCTTCCTTCCATCTTTCTCTTCCTTTCTTTTTTCCTTCTCTTTTTCCTTCCTCCTTTCCTCCTGGGGAATGTTTAGCTGCTTGAAGAAAAGATAGAGAAGGAATATGAGAACCATGTTTCAAGATTTAGAAGGGTGCCCCATTGAGGAGGAGGGGGAAAACTGACTTTTGGCTACTCTAGAGGCAAGGGCACAAATGAGCAATAGTTCTGAATGGCAGGGAAAGAGATTCAACTGAAAAGATTAGAAAGAACTTCCTCAGACTAAGAGTTGTTGGAGAGTGGTGTAGGCCGCCTCCAAGTGTGGTGGAGTCTCCTTCTCTGGAGGCTGTCTACCGGGAGTGCTTTCATTGTGCCCTCTTGCATGGCAGGACTGGACTAGATGGCCCTTGGGCGTCTCTTCCAGCTCTTGGATTCTAGGATTATACATCAAGAGTAGGCCATACAGTGTAATGGATATACTTTTTCCCTCCCATCCACCATCTCATTCTGACCAAGGACAACCCTTTTTGGGATCCAAATATTTCTCGCCTTTCCTTCACTTTCTGCCTCTGAAAGAGAAGAGGAAGGGCAGGAAAAACCAGGGAGAGGGCTTGGGGAGAACCTCCCTTCCCAACCTGCTCACCCTGTCATGTGGCCCACAAATTATGAAGTTTGCCCACACCTGAGTTATACACTAACAAAATTCCTAATTCATCATATTTTGTATGAATGGAGAAGAATGAGACATATTTCAAGCCACACTGCTGAAGAAATGAGCCATATTTTAAATGGTCCAAGCCAGCTTGTCTCTTCAACAATATGAGCCACTCTTATGAAAGGTCTATATTGCCTGTGTTTGAGCACAATTCTCCATATTTCATATGTTTTTATAGCAATGGAATCCCTTTGCTGTGCAATTTTCTGCATGTTTTCCAAATGCTGCGGCATTGAATATGCTAGTGAGTCATACTAAACATAAATGTAAAGGTTATCCTATGTCATACACTTCTACTGCTGCCATATTTCATGTATTACTTCTACTTTCAGGAACCTCCAGAAGAACAAAATTCTTTGGTACTTTCCCTGGAAACTATGTCAAGAGGCTGTGAAATGTTGTTTGTTTGGTTTTTATCCTACTTATTTATGCTGCATCTCTGCAACACATCTGCATATAAAGCTGCTAGAAAACATGCTCCACCAGCCTTCTGTTTTCCTGCTTTGCAATTCCAGGTAGACGTCATCTAGTCCATCTCCACCATCACATCTTCACCCGCCAGCCAGCAGTATTACTGTAACAGCTATGACTGGATAGCTGAGCTTTTATGAAACAAGAGGAATTAGTCTGATTTCTAGTGTATCTTCTTTTGTGCATTCAATCCTTGTCTGTTCCCTCCCCATTTGAAGCACACATACAAGAAAAAAGCTTGATGTCAAAGTGCATCACAATGCTTCAAGGAGTTACCAATATTATTTGGGGGGAATCGGACTATAGCATCCTTACGAAAATTCGTTGTATATGTTCACCACATAAGGAGTGCAGGTTGTGGTCTCTCTTTTCACTTTTTAAAGTTTTCACATACTTTTAAAGTTCAGCAGTGTGTGTTGCTTTCATTTTGCTGTTTCACAACATTGGCCTGGTTTTACCCATTTGCAAAATAAGTTAATTCCACCAATCGGTGGTTTCCATGACCTTCAGTGTTGCAGCATAGGAAGAGTGATTTTCAAACTACAATCAGAAATCGTTCAAAAGGATGATTCACAATTCCCAGTTTGTGGCCAATGGAGAAAAGTTATAAATTGGGGGGAAATGTTTTTTCTTCCAAATAGAAGGCAGCGTCACATATGTTCCAATTAGGAAGCATAGCTTGCATTTCCTGTTTCTGTGCGTATTGTTTGAACTAGGACACACATCTCCCTATACTGCGGTGTCTTTCATAAGGAAAATGTGCAAGCAAGCCTTCTTGTCATATATTAGTGATGTGAACACATTCAGGAAGTGCAAGAAAGAGTGTCCTCCTCAGAAACATGTGCCTCTCTATCCAAGAGAAGCGGACGCTCCCAACACGGTTATTGTTCTAATGGGAGACTACAAGACTTTTCTTCCTATGAATCTGATACTTGTACATATCTTTAACATCTAAAGTTCATCCAAAGGAAACTATGCTTGTTACTTCGAAATAAGGAAGAAACACAAAAATGCACAGAAACTGCAACCATTTGTAATACAAGCTGCCAGTGAATATTTTCTGCCGTTTCACAACAATGTTGTGACTACAGCAAGGTACAGTAGAGTCTCGCTTATCCAGTCTTTGCTTATCCAACCTTCCATGTTATCTGATGCTCTGGCCCACCCCCTTTCCTCCAGCATTTCCCCTTTAGAGGTCATGTATTTAGTTTACTTATTTCTTCCCCATTTTGGCCAATACCACTATGCAGACTCCAAAAGAGGAGCCAGAGCATAATGGTTCTGCCTCTCCTCCCCACCCCTTCCACGCACAGCAATGGTTCAGTCTGAGTTGTAAGGAGGGGCCATGGCTATGCGGGAGTTTGTAGGAAATTTGGGAAGAGAAAACAAGAGGAAAGAATGAAGGTGGGCATTTGTACTATCTACCTTTTCATTACAATTCCTTGTTTGTTGCTCTCTTTTCCATCAGTAGTGAGTTCTCTTCTTGTGTCTGGAAAACCAAGCAGAAGGAGAACTCACTCACCACTGAACTTGGCCAGGATAGACATATGGACTTCAACTCCCAGAAGCCTCCATATTATCCAACATTTTCATTTATCCGACATTCTGCCGACACATTTATGTCGGATAAACGAGACTCTACTATACCTGAAAGTCTAATATTTAATATTCATTTATCATGTGAAGTTTCAGCAAGGAAAAATAATTAGTTGCATTGCATTTAGGCACTAGGGTGGGGAGCAGAAGTCCACAGAAAGTATCACATACACAATTACTTTGCTACTTTGTGTTTGCACACTTTTGAAACAGACCTGAGCTATATTTTCTTTCTAGCAATATTACATGAAAGCAAAGAAATAAAAAGGCACAAGCATGAAAACAGGTACATATGGGTGGATTTTTTAAAATCCTTGGATTAGTGTGAAGTATTTGAACACAACATTTGTTTTCTGTACGCAGCACCCAAGCATAAATAGTGTATGATGGGAAAAAATACATGACTTTCTATGTCTATGGCTTTACGCAAAGCAGTCCATGTTTGGTTTTGCTGGCACCTTATAGAAGGCAAAAAAGCAAAGGCGTTTACTACGTTTCTCTTGTGGTAAAGGACAGATCTTGCAAATTTGTAGTTTGTAGCATTTTGTACATACGTTTGCTTTCTTTGTACAGAGCCATTTTATCGTTGATTCTTTTGGAGGAGTAAAAATCAAGTTCAGTATCTGATCTTCTTCAAGCGACCCCTTTCCACTAATAAAGCTTCATTTTCTCGTTTTCTTTTACTCCCTCTTCAGTGTATAAGCACATTTGGATAGTGCAATTCTGTAAAATAGGATTTGATGCAAAAGTTTTATGAGTAATAATAATAATATGGTTTTACCTGCCAAATCTTTAAAAATGTACATATGTCTTTATTATGGAGAAATGTCAGTGAGACAGATAGAGAAACATCTTTGTGCAGCATACCTTGGTTACTGCAAATTACATGGCAAAAGCTTTATATTTCAAAGGCTTTCCATTATAAACTAGATGTGCATGGAGCTTTGCAGTGAAATCAGTACTTATCTTTGATGCCATTTATGATGGAAGACTTACATGTCTGTTGCCTGTGATATTTAAAAGACGATGAAGAAGAACCGCTGTTTCTACTCTGTTACCTGATTTTAATAGAACAAGATTTTTCATACCTGGCTTTCAGGTAAATTGACATTGAATTCTTACATGCAAAAGGTCTCTGTGTTTTTTTCCTTGAATAGACTTCTAATAAAAATTGCTTGGAATATGTTGTCGTCTCTCCTTGATTATCATCCATACAGCAATGCAAAGGTGGGTATTGTATAGACCTCCTGATACTGTTGGACTACAATTCCCATCAGTCCTAATCAGTGTCACCATTGATTGATTGATTGATTGATTGATTGATTGACGGTATTTATATTCTGCCCTTCTCACCCCGAAGGGGACTCAGAGTGAATAGCAGAACACATATATGGCAAACATTTAATGCTGTTATAAACTGACAAGACAGACAACTACATAGATAGAGGTATATATAGTAAGTATAACGAAAAGCATATCATGGTAGAGGGAACACTGCTTCAGTCTTCTTTTGGTATAATGCTGCCACCACCCAAGATGTCTTAGGATTTTAAAAATGAGTTTCTGAGGTAACCTTTTCCCTTCTCTGCCAACACAGCTCTCCCCTTAGCTCCTAAAATGTTTGTTTGGATATGAGACCTTTCTGTAGTATTAGGATGTTAACCTGATTGGAAATTCTCCTCAAGGATTACCGATGGAATGAGTAATGACAGCGGCTTCTTCAAAGTCAAATGGAGAAAATATTGATTTATAAAAATATACAGACAACTGACTTCTTCTTTTGAGAGGCACAAACGCTTGACTTGTTATTATAGCACAATATCTTAATGGTTGCTTTAAAAAAAGAGTTTCTTGACTTGGTTACAAACAGAGTTAATCTCACAGATATAGCTACTGGTTACAAACAAAATCCCTCACTCTACTTCGGTGAAATAGCAATGAGTTCTTGACTAACCTAACCCAGGTTGTCTTCTGAGCAATTAGCTAACTCTCACCAGAATCCTTTACCGCTAACTTACTCAAACTAGAGAGCAACTCCCTTGTGTTGTCTCCCACAAGTAATCAGGATGCTGCTTGGCCTTTCTTGCCAATTATCCAGCCCTGCCTGACCCAAATGCTCTCTCTCAGAAAAACCCACTCTCAAAACCACTTCTTCCTTCAGTTTCCAAATCCCCACTCATTTCTCTCTCAGAAGCTGAAATCTTTTCTTTCCCAAGACTTGGCTCCTCCTCTCTCTAGCCAATCCCAGGAGACCTCCAACTCCTCCCATCTTCTAACTATCCACCGTCAAGATGGCTGCTTTACTGGCAGACACTCTCAAAATGGAGGTTTGCTCTACTGTCTTCCCAGGCTTCTTCTCAGGCCTATAAGGTAAGAGTCATTACAAGAAGCATGTGTGATCTATTAAAATGGTTCTAAACTTCCAAAAATAAGGGGTTCTGACGCTTCGTTTCTAAAGTCTTTCCAAATTTTTGGTGGTCAAAATTTCAGAACTCTAATCAAACTTACAAATCTTCATAAGTACTTTGTTAATGGCAGTTGCAATTGCGCAATAGGGAAAACAGCACTGTCACGGGAAACTTGAGAGGCTTCTTTCTCCTTCATTTTTGAGCAATCCTGATGAAACTTGCTACAATGGTAAAGCACATTTGCCACAGTTAGCTCACCAAATTTCCGAACGTTTGACTTATCCACAGAATTTTGGCAAATTTTTAAAGTTTTCATAAACATTTTTTAAAAAAACTACAAGAGCTATCTACATGAATTTTATATACAATGCACAAGACAACAAGGACATCAATCCCCAAAGTTTCAGAAAGATTCACACATCCACAGATTTTTGAGATTTTTAAAAGTTTAGACCAAAACAATTTATCTCTCCAAAAAGCGAAAGCAATTCCCTTGAATGTCTGTCTGCCTTTATGACACACAACCACATAACTTCAACTTAGCACAGATACTATTACTTAGTTACTTCAGTCCCTTTTGCAAATATTTATTTTATTTAGATTAACTCTAAATGGTGACTTTGAGGCCAGCCCTCACTTGGGTCCTTCAGCCTCATTTGAGTCCTAAGCAGCTTTGCATTCTGGGGAATGTAGTTTATGGCAGGGCCTTTTGCAATTCTCTACCATTGGGGGCCTGGCCTTTCCAAACTACAGTTAAGATGGATGTAATTGGTAACACCCACAGCTCCCTTATGGCAACGCCGACGGAATGAGACTGAAAAAGCACTTGGCTTTTTCCAAAGTTTCTTAATGGTTATAGTGAACATTACACTGACCTTGAGAGACACACAGAACATTTACAAAAAAAAATGGGTAAGTGATTCAAATTCTAATCCTCACCACAGCCACCTTTCCTGCATGCCTCGAAAATAGCTTTGTAGGCACAAATTTAACAAATCAGATACGAATTCCAATTTTTATTCGAAATTATGCATCAGCCTAATATAGTGGCTTTTACATCTACAGCATCTTGGAGGCTGTGCTCGTCTTGCTCTTTTTCCCTGCTGAATTTTATTCATAAACTTCTTCTTGATCAAATTGCTGGTATGGGTGCCTTAAATACCTCCCCACTATTTATCTACTCACATTGCTGTTTTCAAAACTGCTAAGTAGGCAGAAGCTGGGCTAAAGGCCAGGAGTTCACCCTGACCCAGGCTTCAAACTGTCAACCTTTCAGCTGGCAAGATTTATTGCAGCTGGTGGTTAACCTGCTATGCTAAGAATGCTGGAAGTTTCACAACTGGAAGGCAGCATTTTCTTTCCATCCCTGCATGAGAGCATCATGCATTTAAGTGAAATAGTTTGGACTCAAGAGACTGAGTGGCAGGATTGATCCTCATGTAAAGCAGAAAAGTACTTGGAGAAATCAAACACTCAACTCTTTTTGGCAAAGGGACTGGAATAAGTAAGTATCTCTCAGCAGTGCAGCAATGGGGAATAATAGCAGCTAACATTTATGCACAGATATAATTTCATCATAACATATAAGCACCAAAATTGCATGAAGTATAATGCTATTGCTCTTACGCATCTTCCAGTCAATTCTGATTTATGGTGACCCTCTTCCAGTGTTTATTCAGAGGATGTTTGCAATGGCTTTCCTCTAGTCCTGAGTGGAGGTGACTTACCCAAGGCCACTTAGCAGGTTTTGAAACCTTGTCTTCCAGAATCCTGGTCCAAATCTCAAACCACTAATTACAGATACTACGCTTGCTCCTGAAATGGAGCAGAATGCACAAACACAGATGTCCCAGAAAACTCACAAGCTTTATGGCTGATACACATGTTTACCAAATGTGTTTAGTATTTTATAAGGAGTCCCCGGTGGCACAGTGGTTAAAGCACTGAGTTACTGAGCTTGTTGACCAAAAGGTTGCAGGTTCGAATTTGGGGAGCGGCATGAGCTTCCGCTTTCAGCCCCAGCTTCTGTCAACCTAGCAGTTTGAAAACATGCAAATGTGAATAGATTAATAGGTACCGCTCTGGCGGGAAGGTAACAGCGCTCCATGCAGTCATGCTGACCACATGACCTTGGAGGTGTCTATGGACAACACCAGCTCTTCGGCTTAGAAATGGAGATGAGCACCACACCCCAGAGGCAGATACGACTGGACTTAATGTCAGAGGAAAATCTTTACCTTTTACCTTAGTATTTTATAGGACATTACTGCTCCCGACTAAAGACCATTTTTGTCCTGATACAGCCTCAGCCTAAGACATCGTTATTAGAATACAATAGAATAACTTTATTGTCATTGTACATTGTACAGTGAAATAAATGTTTTTTCCCAGCACACATCACATTTGGGTTGTATTATCCAAATGCACCAGAGAAATTCTAAAGGGATGAACTGCAGCTCATCCCAAATAGTATGCTTTGTACATGATGCAATAACATACAATAGCAACAAGTCCATAACATAATTAGAAGTAAAGAAGTTATTGAAGAGAATCGGAATGTCTACAAAGTCACCAAGCAGCTTCCTTTCATGCAAGGCCATGGGGCGGGGGAACACTTGCCTTTCATGCTCTAAATAACTCTCTGAAAGACCCTGGCTGATTTGAGGGCTCCAGTTTGCAGAAAAAACACACAATCCCTAACCCATTACAAAGTTCACTTTTTTTGTTTCTCTTGTTCCAATATGGGCCTCACCAATTTTCTACTTACTTTATCTCCCTCTTACCCTTTTGGAAAACTGACATAATTTTTTTCAACACAATTCCAAGTAGGTGGCTTCAGGATGTTTTGTGCTTGGCATCTGCTACTTGTTTTGGGCTACTTTTCTAAGACACATGATTGCCTACCCTCTATGGTTGAAGGGCGGGAAAGAAGAGCATATTTATTTATTTACAGTATTTATATTCCGCCCTTCTCACCCTGCAGGGGACTCAGGGAGGGTCACAGCGCACATATACATGGCAAACATTCAATGCCATAGACACACAACATATATAGACAAACACAGAGGCAATTTAAGTTTCATGAGGGTATGCTTGAATTCTGGCCACCAGGGGGAGCTGTCGGTTCACAGTCCACTTGTGACACCAAGTCCTTGATGGAGTTCTTCCTCATTCTTTCGCCTGCTGCTGGAGATTTTTTTTATGACAGACACACAGAGGCTATTTAACTTTCCAGCTTCATGAGGGTATGCTTTGAATTCCAGCCACCAGGGGAGCTGTCACTTCACCATCCACTTGTGACACCAACAGAATACTTCCTCATTCTTTTGCACGTTGCTGGAGATTTTTATGGTGTCGTAAATTAGTTAAATTAGCCTCCCCGCAAAAAGTGGTACCTAAATTTCCTACTTGACAGATGCAACTGTCTTTTGGGCTGCAAAGGTCAACAGCAAGCTAGACAAATGGTTATGGGGCTTACTCCGATCCAGGCTGGCTTCAAACTCATGATCTTTTGGTCAGTAGTGATTTTAATGCAGCTGACTTCTCAACCAACCGCCACAACACTGCAAAGCCAGTAGGGAACCAACACATAGGCATCTGGCAGAGAGAGGAGCAGGGCACCGCCGTCGGCAGGTTCTTGCTTTGTGAATCAGGATAGCAAAGTTGATTAAAGTTTTTTAAACAAATGTGAAATTTATTTATTTATTTTGGACATTTATGTCCCGTCCTATTTCGACCTCCGCAGTGGGACTCGGGGTGGCTGACAACAAAAGCA